ACAGAAGGAATATTTGGTGGATATGACAACATTTAATATAATTACTAATTTAACATACAACTTCCTGAGCTTGTGGTTTCAAGACGCTGACATGCAAAGTGTTCTTCATGTCTACTTTACAAAATGATGTTGAGTAATAAGATATTTTTGTTGTGCGGATTAAAGCTTTAAAAACATGCAGTGGTGACATTTTCTCTCGCTGTGGATTCGGCATTGCAGCCTCGCCCGCTTGCCTGCTTTTGCCGTGACCTTGCAGTTTGTCCAATCAGGGTGCGCCACGGTGAGCGTTTTACCAATGAGGATGCGAGATGGTGCAGGGGTTAGAATTTGCCCTGCTGTGCTGCTCTTTGTAGTACATCAAATGACTGAGTTCCTTGGCTGGCTGCCTGGAGTGGCCCAAAGAAGAAGCGAAATCCATGTGCATGCCAGCTGCACTGATTCCGTCCTGTGTGTGTTTGTGTGTGACAGTGAACTGTGTTTTCTGAACCAAACGTAACCTTGTGTGTGTGTTCTCCTGATGTTCTTTGAACCGGACTGCTGTGATCCTGACGATGCTCCAAGGTTCTGGAGTGGGTGTTTTACCATTTACCGTTAATCCTGTAACACCCACTGGTAGTACTAACTGTGACACAGGTACCACCACCTTATTGTGATTCTCTGGCATCCTGACACTCAGTGACTCATTCACTTGCACTTTCAAGCTCTGCGTGAATGTGTGTGGTGTGAGTCTATTTTTATGTTGGTGTGTCTTGTCTTTTCATTTTCTTCCTTCCACTGATTAATCCCCAAACACAGTACATGAACAACATCAAAATATGCAATGTTAAATATGATAGAGAGGATATAAAAGAGAGAGTCATTTTATCTCACAAATCAAATTGTGAGATAAAATGAGCTCCAGTTATCCATTAAGAAGAAACTGGAGTTCATCTACTCCTTTTACACATTCCAGCCTTACACAGAATCCTTTACACCAGCTTTGATTGGCTTAAAAGTAAGGTTAAGTTTAGGTCAGTAGCCAATAGGAGAGCCAGATCTCTGCTGAGAGAACTGTGCCCCCCGTCACCCAACTGTCAATCAAAGCGAGCTCCTACTGCTGGGCAACAAAGAGCCCTGCTCAATAGGCCTTTCAGGGTTGTGTGAGTGACAGATCTCTGCGGTAAAACGATCAAAGAATGTGTTTGTGTTTGAGCATATGTTTGCCAGTGTTTTTGTGTGTGTGCACATTTCTTTGTGTGCTTGAACTTGCATCTTTATGTTTTCTGATGTTAAATGGCATGTCGTGTCAGTGATGTTATTGCTCTGAAAGTACTGGTGTCTAGAGTGACTTCTGAGTGTTGCTCTGTGTATGCATCTTAACTCTGTGTGAACGTGTGTGTAGGTAAAGAAGATGCTAAGACATGCAAACGTGTGGCCATTCGGACGACCATTAGAAAAGATGACTGCAGGAGCAACGCACCGGTGAGACAGGAGAGATGCTAACCTAAAATGAGGAGGCTAAGTTGGCAAATAAACTACAATTATTGCTTTATACCTCTTGATGTCATCATCTCCCTTCCTCTTACAGGTAACAGTCTACTCTTGTGATGGGAAATGCCCGTCTGCCACCATATTCAACTTTAACATCAACAGTCACGCCCGGTTCTGTAAGTGTTGCCGGGAGAGCGGACTCCAAACCCGCTCTGTCACACTCTACTGCTCTCGCAACGCCACAGTCGTGGAGTACAACTTCCAAGAACCTCTGGACTGTTCCTGCCAATGGAACTAAAAACAAAATAATATACGAGAGCACAACAAATACAGAGAATGTATGAATAGATGGATAAATGAGGAGGGTTTGATTTTTGAACAAGCATAAAAGCCAGCCATGTTTCATTTTATTTGTCACTATGGTACACTTTACACTGACCCTGAGTCATAGCTGTAACTTAAAGATATTGAAAATAACTGATGTTAAGTGGGAGGTTGTTTTGAAGTAGTTTTTATATGCACATTAGTCTTTTTTTTCTTTAAGACCTGCAGTGCCAACCCAGTCAGCTTTCTAGTGCTCTCAAGTGATGATACGATGCCATTAGCCTTTTATCCTACTGTATATTAACAATTGATATCATGTTGACACAGAAGTTGTTGCATTTTTTATATCTGCTATTGGGTTCAAACTCTGTATATGCATTTTGGTTTGTCCTAGGAAATACATTTAGCCTTTGTACAAATGAAAGTGTAACGCGAAGCTTTGTGTCCTTAGAAAAGTTTAATGAAAATGTGACCTTTGCGCTTTTTTTGTAGTTTCTGTATTTTGAAGTAGGGGAATAAAAGATTTAACAGTGTCTTTGTCTCTGTCCTCATGACCTGCAGTGTGTCCTTTTCACACCCCCTTTGGGTATTTTCGTCCTCAAACCCTTATTAAACGCACACACTCATCCTGATTCAGCGTTTGCAGTGCTGACACGTGTTTGTGTTTCACCTCTGGGAGGTTATTGCCGTGTGGGAGTCACCTCTTCATAACAGAACCCCTCAGTGGACTCAGCTCTCTGTCTGTCAATCATTTCTCCCTTTCACATTCCTGTCATTCCACGCGGGCCTACGCTTCCACCACACCCCACATCCGAGCCAAACCGTTCTCACCACTGCACCAGTGTTTATTTTCGATGTTATGAAAACAAATCTTAGACCTGTCTAAGACTGAAAGTGGCTGGCTGACTGTTGGTCATCCGGAGGCGTGAAGCTGCTGGTTTTAACATCTCAATTTCCCACAAAGCCTGTCCACATCTCTCTTATCCCTCTCCTCTCCTCCTCCTCAGTATGCCCCCACATCCCCAGCCTCCCCTCCTCTCCTCTCCTCTTCTCTCTCCTCTCCTCAGGAGCCCAGGCACTGGAGTGGCCATGTGCCCGTGGTTGCCATGGTGAACTGCTCTTATCCCAACAAAGAGCCAGAACAAATTGGGTTGAACTCATACATCTCTCTCTCTCCTTCACATAAGGGTTTGCCTCTCGGAGGAAACAACCACTGGACGCTGACTTCAAATGCGCGCGAAATTCAAATTCCAGGCTCTGTGTAAAAATGAAGTGAAACCAAGACCAGATTTTCTCAGGATTTAAGACAGCTTGGAATATGTAAGCTACTTTCAAAGACTTTTTTAAGTCTAAAAAAGTTACACACTTTTTGATGCTGCAGCTTTGCCTCAGTGATCCAAATAGTTTGGGACTTTCCACAGCAGATGTTTACGCACAAGGCAAATGTCTTGGGTTAGTGTATGAGCCTACCAATGGCTGTAAGCACTGCTAGGATCTGCTGTTTGTCTCCTTGGAAGTGACCGTAGTGGATCAGTGACTGCTGGAAGGTGTGCGTGATGACATGGAGTGACATTTCCAATGGGTGGAACAGAGCGTCTGTGGTTACTTGCTACTTTATGCCAGGTAAGAGAAAGGCCTGCTGTTCTCTGTAAAGCAGTTTGTATTTAATGTTCATCATGTTTATCTGTCTTCACAGGTGTATTGTAATTGTACTTAAAGCTCCTGTGTGTAGGATTTAGTGCAGGGCAGTGTACAGACATTTCAGGGAGCAGGTGCTCATGCGAAAAAATGGCACCCATCACATACTTTTACGTATTTAGTTATTTCAAACCCCATACACCCATGAATGGTTTAATTTTACATCAGTGAAAAACAATGTCAAGGCTTAGGACAACCTCTTTCATTACCTGGCAGGCTGTCACCAATGAAGGCAGGTCAAGGAGACATGGATGCCACTCCACTGGGTACTTGAGCTGCGTCTGTTCACTGTGGTGACTGTGACGAGGGAAGGTGAAGAGTGAGGAGCAGGGGCTTGTGCGTTCTCGCAGATTTAGAACTCAAATGCAGTTTGTGGACATTACAACACGCTTTTAATTTAGAATTGATGCCATGTACCATATTTTAAAAAAGACATTTAGTCAGCAGCCATAATGGCAGGTGCCTGATTACCACCTGGGGTCTGTCTGTGCAAGCGCCTGATTTCGTGGCATCTCGCAGTGAGGTTGCAGATTGTGTGTAGGAGAATTATGGTGGCCGACACGAAAATGTGGCTTGCCATGTCTACAGCCAGCGTTCTGGGTTACTGTAGCAACAACATGTCAGACTTCGTAGAAGGATCCTCTTTTTATGTAGATATTAATGGCTCATTCTAAGCCCAGCTGGCCACCAATGTCTTTAGACATCGAAATTTGGTTGAATCCAGGTTGTGACGTCGGTTGACCTGAATTCAGTGTCAGGACAGTGTGTATTCCCACCATCAATTGATGTAGAAAACTGGTGTTGATATTTTGGTTTTGATTTGTGTTGTCAAGTAACCAAAATTCGACATCCTTCGAACGTCTCATGTCAACATCATCTCAACATAGAATACCGTCATTTAGTCGGAAGGTATGGAGACCAAAACCTAAAGTCTGCAAAAATAATGTTAACGTCCATAAGATATTGTCAATCTGAGTCCAACATCTTTCTAACATCATTTTGACATCTTGTCCCAGCCAGTAGGTAACAAATCGAAACAGTTCTCATTTCCAGGCGATTATGAACTAATGAAAATGTAGTTATGAGTATTATATACAAGTTCTGCCATTATAGGCCCCTTAATCCTACACACTGGACCTCAAAGTACATGGGATTTTTGGCTTCTGTGACACATGTCATTTTACTCTTTCTCAGGTGGTCCTCCTGACCTGTGAGAAGCATTTAAACCCTGTTGAGGTTGAAGTTGTATTCCAGTCCTTCCCTTCCACTAGAGATTCAGACACCTACACAGTCACCTGCAGGACTGCAAGTAACCATCTGGTGAGAATATTGGTCCAGGAGATAATGCAGATGTACTCTTGTTCAACTTATTTACAGTAGTTTGGGAGCTAAATTAATAATCCCATCTCTGCAGGTGTATGTGGATCCCATTGATCATTCAGCATGCTCCCCTGACTGCAAAATCTCACTGCAGTTGGTCGAGGACCCGAGAGGATATAACATCACACTGAGAGCCAGCAGAAATGATACGACTATTGCAGCAGAGACTTTTCACTTCAGTGAGTGTCCATGAACTCTGAATACCACAGCCCTGATGGAGAAAATGAACATACTTAAATAGTGTTTGGTATAATGCTTATGGTGTTAACATCTTTCATGTTGTCTCTGCTCCTTCCCTTCTGTATTTGTGTTCAGCCCCAGTCTCCCTGTCCTCCTTCCATGTATACAGCACGACGACTACTGCTCTCCTCACGTGGAAACCTCACAAACAACAACACCTATCCACCTTGAGTCTTTACGACACTCACACACAATCTGTCACACACATCTTAAACATAAACTCATTGGAGGAAAACTCTATGTACGCAGTGAAAGGTCTCCACCCTGGTACACGCTTCAAGGCCAAAGTCGTGGTGACCACATTTCTAAAACACCTGAATATGATGATAAAGCAAGGACTCAGCTTTGGCATGGAAGCAGGTATTGTACACATCAGGATTACATAACCACAACTTTATCATTAATTTTGAAACTGACTGCAGGCAGCAGAGAATCTGCTGGTGTTAGTTGCTGATAATTTCTGTCTTCAGCTCAGTGCCCTCCTGACTGGTTGGCCAATGGACGAAGCTGCTACACTGTGAGAAAGACAGGGTTGACCTGGAGCAATGCCCAGCACAGCTGCAAGAATCTGGCAGCTGGAAGTCACCTGGCTGATCTGAAGACCCTGGAAGATGTGCTTTTTATATCCTTTCACCTGCTGAGCCACAACAACCTGCTGCTGCTGTGGACCGGACTTACTGACCAGCAGGTAGCCTAATTACAGAAACATTTCAAGGAGTGGCACTTAGGAAAATAAGCTATTTTCTTCTCATCCTATCAGTCAGAGGCATAATAAATAATTACTTTGTATTGTGCCTTTCCATTTACATCGTCAGAATACCTAATGTTTCCTTGAGAATGTGCACATTTATATATTATTTATTAACATTTTCTCACAATGGATCACATTTGAGAATTCTCATGAATATTCATGAATAACTTTATAGTTAGTAATTTAAAAAGGAATTTGTCAAGAAAACCTTTTTGATTAAATATTTACAAAACACTGCTTATTCTGTCTTGCAAGACTCAAAATCTTGCATTATGTGGTCCTGTATGATATGGAGGAATATGTAGAGTGTGAACTGCAGAAAGTAGATTTTTTTTATGACTTGGAATTCTTATCTTATATCATTCAAATCATTTGGATTACATGATCAACATACAGTCCATCACAACAACAAAACATACCAGTCCCACCCGTCACCCAGAGGGGTCATCCTACCTATAGAGTGGCTTGCAAATCATAAATATACTACACACATTATTAACCAAAGAGAGACATGACAGGGCATAATGAATAAAATTCTGTTCCATCACAAACAATGTGATATAGTGTCAAGATACATGCCCCTGCAGACAGTAGATTTAAAAATACCATGCAGTGTAGTTTAACATTCCTGCACGACATTTTGTCACACAAACACTGCAGGACACTCTCAGCGCTTACGTCTACTCCTGTAGTGTTCATGTCATTAGACTCTATGTGTAAAGGAACCTACACATAGGAAATCACAAATACTGCACAAGAGTAAGAGTACGGTGGAAGTATTTGAATCACAAGTACTGTCAGGTGGATTGTATGTTTTTATGTTCTTAAAGGTCCCCATCTATTCTGAGGATTAATGTATTTGCTTAACTCATGTATTTATTTTCTACTGATTTTCTTTATATGAAGCCACATCATTGATGAATTGTTGTTTGTCCCTCATGTTCTGGGTATTACACTGGGTAAGGAGGGAGGGTGGGTTAGGATGTGAGTTGTATTTGTGCACTAGATTGATGTTCACTCATTGTTTTGCATAGTGAAAAATGAAAATTGCAAGTCATTAAAAAAGGAAATGGCCAAATAGATGTTTATTTAATGAGTATACTTTAGTAATGAGGTATAAAGTTTTAATACCCTTTGTAGGATTTTGTTTATGATTGAGTACAATAGTTAAAGAAAATACAGATTTAACAGATTATTATAACATTTCAAAAGCAGCCTATCTAGCCAAAATGACACTTTTCTCTCGGGCTGCATTGGCCGAAGCTTGCAGGGAGGTCCTCACATATTGTGGTATATACAAAAGCGTAGACCTAATAAGACCTCAGAGGATTTTAGACTCAATTTCAGGCAGTGCAGACATAAGACTGTAAGACTGTGTAATGGTAATCCACTGCTGAATCACTGGAAAGTAATTTTCTGGAAAAGAAGTTTCCTTTCTAAACAGGAAAAGCCCCACGGCAGCAGTTACTCCCTAAAGAGGAGTTTTGTTTTTGAAACTTTCACTTTAATGACAATGAGCTGGTTGGGTCTGTCATGTGTATATATAGAGTACAGTGCATAATATCTCTCTTTTGTCACCCCTGCAGGAGGAGGGACATCCTGTCTGGTCTGATGGCTCAGCCTATAACCTGACAAACACTATGTCATTACTGCCAGCCAATCAGACAGACTGTTTTGCCTTTCAAAGGAATGCCACAGGAGCAGGATACTTTCTCACTCCTTTCTTCTGTAACATCCCCTTACCCTTCATCTGCGAGTACCAGAGTAAATAACTTGAATAATATATCTTTATTAACCACATTATTTACTGTGCATAACCCTTTATCCATTATTGCTTAATCTAAGGGCGAAGAAGTAATGCAAAACACTTACTAGTTAAGCCAAACCATACAATTTCTTCTTCTTCTCCCTCTTCCACAGTCCCTCCAGCCCCTGCCTCGTTCTCCTTTGACCTGGTTCAGGTGACAGAGCAACAGGTAGAGCTTCGCTGGAGTGATCTCTCATCCTTGAACTCTCTCAGCCTCTCATCCTTTGAGATATGCCTCCAGTACCAAGAGGAGGCAGATGGAGAGTGGGGTCAAGGTGAAGAAGATAGAAGCAGGAAGTCAGAGGACATAAAGGGGACACAGAGCCAGAGAAGTATAAAAAAAGTTGTCAGGGTCCCGATTTCCCTCTCCTCCAGGGGGGTAACTGTGGCAGGTTTGTCTCCAGGGAGCGTCTACTCTTTCACCCTCAGAGTCTCTCACCCTGCTGGTGCCACCTGGAGCTTAGGACAAACACGGACTGCGTACACTAGTGAGTCTGCTGACAACCTGTCACACACACAAGTTACGCAAGCAACATCTTATGCTAACAGATGTACTGCAAATGTTTGTTTTTTCTTCTCACAGGACCTCTTCCTCCTCAAAATGTCACCATCAGCCACATTACCGTCAGACAGATTAGTGTTCACTGGATGCTGACAGACGCACAGTCAAGGGTTGGATGGACATTTATTGTGCGCTATGTGGACATGTCTTCAAGACAACAGAGGATACTTGGGATGACCAACATCTCCAGATTGTCTGAGACTGGTGGGCTGCAGTCATACACCGCTGTGATTGGAGGGCTGGAGTCTTACAGGAAATACAGTGTTGAAGTTTACACAGTCACCCAGCACGGGATAGAGAGCTGCGGACAAGCGTTTGTGACTGCACAGACTGGTAAGCATGTAACAGGCCTTTTTCATAGCAGCCATTTTGACTTGTCATAGTAGCTAATAACATTAATGATGGCCCTGCTCTATTCAAGTGTCCCAGTAAACCATGACTGTGTGACAGCGAGCCAGTGTGAACAATACCAGAACCCTGAAACACACAATTATATGGAATTCAGCCATCGTTCATTTTATTATTTACACCTGTGCTTTTCTTACTATGACATGTCAAAATGTCAAAATGATTCATTTCAGTTTTTGGGAAATCTAGAAAGGTATTGTTTGAAAATTCAGGCAAAATATACAAATAAAAATTTTACAATGACAATGCACTAATTCTCCGTCATTGCGTAATTCAATCAGCCAGTACAATACAAACTGAGATTTGAATGGACTTTGGTTGTGAAGCCATTGTGCTGTTAATGTGACTGGTGATACATTTGTGACCATTAGCACTGATTGCACTTTCACTGCTGGAAAGGTCGACCTTTCATAAAAGTGAGCTGTCTATGCAGTTGTTGTGGCAGTTCAACTTAGGACCCAAATGCAAACACAACCAGGAAACTGAATGGTTTGAGACAGTTTATTGTAGTTTGAAGAAGTGGAGCTGAAGGTTTGAATGAAATGATGGCTGAGGTGGGCTGGGAATGGTGAAGCGGAGCAGACAGACTAGTTGAAGGCAGAGCAGTCCAAATCCGGAGGCAAAAGTCATGAATGAAGCTGGATGTGGCGGGTTACGGTTGAGGCTGGCGTGGTGAACCTGAGACACAGAGCAAAGTGTGAATTGATGTCCAAAAAGATAAAGTGTTCAAAATCCAGAAGTTGGCCTAGATGTCTGTATCGCAAAGGAGACTGAATGATCTTACAAGCTTAATTGTAGATGTGGTTCAGGTGTGCAGGTCCAGCAGCTGCTGGCAATCAGGAGGATTTGCAGGAGGAGGGAATCAGGAGGCCGCGCCAAGCAAACACGTGAGACACTAGGAAGGGGAAACAGGAAACACAAGGGAGAGGCAAACCCGATTGTGCCTGTTCTTACTAGTTTGCATAAATTGAACTTTGCTCATGTATTTTGTCAACCAAAGTCGATAAGTTGGCGATGTTCTAAAATTTACACCACGTAATTGTCCAAACAAAAAAACATACATAATAGTAATATGCAGATAACTTACCTTTGACCCACATTAGCTGACAACAAAATTAACATTCTCCTCTTTTACCCCTTTAGCTGTTAGGACTCCCAGTGGTCTGGAGGTATTCAGCACGGCAGGAAATCTGACAGTCTGCTGGAATCATCCACCAGATGACCCACCAGATGGTTATTACATCACGTCCCACCCACACATTTACCCTGCTCCCGTCTCACTGTGGACAAACCAGTCCAGTCCTGGTGTAAACTGGTTAAATGAGTCAGTGTGTGTTAATATGGGCACATTTACTCCAGGTCACACTTATGAAGTTGGAGTTGTCTCACTGAGGGGAGAGGACAGGAGCAAGAGGACCAGTGTTACACACACAACAGGTAAGAGAAACAACAATACTGCCTTTAAAGCACTGGTTCCCAACCTGGGGGTCCCGACCCTCCTAAGGGTCACCAAAGCTTCATGGGGGCTTGCTAGTGCCTTTTTATTTTAAGGGGTGTAAGAAAGCTTTTTAAAATATACAGTTGGCCTGTATCCCAGCATTTCATATATTGCTGTAGAGAAAACTACAGTCAGGGTTTCCCACACATCCCTTTTTTTGTGGCAGCCCACCACGATGAAAACATCTGTCGCCACATTTTGATTTTCTGTTTTAAGAGCTGGACCATTCATCAGGAGCACTGCTGGAATATATAGCCTCCTGTCTGGTTATTCACTGCACCACACTCTCGCAGCACAGAGAATACTCTGGGCAAAGATAAAGCAGCAGAACATCAGGCGCAGTGGGAATGAAACTTAACCGTTCAATGCACTGGGTCTAAAAGTTAGCCTCTGTAGCAGCTGCTCCTCTCATCCATTGATCTGATCTGATCAGCTCTGATTGGATCTACTGAGCAATTATGCCCCTTGCCTGTCATGAACCAAGGAGTCAAAGCACAAAAACACAGGTTTAAAGTTCAAAGAAGGTCGCTTTATTTTCCCAAAAAATAAATTTTACAAAGCAAATGACTAAGGATAACAAAATTGGTGTTATAGAGCCCTTAATAGAGGTCAAAACAAAAAAACAACGTACATACTGGCTGATCAGACCAAATTAAACACAATGGGGAGAATGTACACAGACAATTACTAAGATTAACACAAAATGTATTATGCAGATACCATAAGACAGTTTAATAGTTGTTCTTTAATGTTATTGTTCTGCATTTAATGTAATATGAATTATATTAATTATGGAAACAAGTTGGGAACCACTGCTTTAAAGGATAAGATTAAAAATTCTCAAGTCTGTTTTAAAACAATGGTCAGGTGTCTATTTGAACAGTGATATAAAAATTTTTTGCTGTAATCATTTCTCTTCATGTTGGCCGTGAGATTCCTTCCAAATGTGTATTCAATGGAAGTTTTGGGAGACAAAACTCTTTGTGCACAAATGCATTCAAAACTTTATCTGAAGCTTAAACAAGGCCTCAGTAGTCGGAGGTAGCCAGTGGGTATCTTCCAAAGTAATAGCCTGTAGAGTAAAACTCCCCCTGACGGTGTTTCCCTGTTGAGTTGCAGCGGAAGGAGAGTAAGAAAAAGAGGGTATTTTGTACTAAACAGTCTGTAACTTGATTTTTACCAAAGCTGAAGCCTCATATTAGCCTTAGATAAACTTTAATACACAGCTGACAGAAGGAGGACTGTGTTTTGTCCCCCATGACCAGTATGAACAGAAGGAGTGATTACAGCAAGCAAAACATGTTTCAGTGTTCATACAGTCACCTGACTATTGTTTAAAGACAGACTGGAAAATTATTATCTACCATACAAGTCATTTTATTATCTATCTTTGTCTGTTTCTCCCTCTATGTGTAGATCCAATGCCAGTCCAGGTGGCAGTCCCTCTTTCAGTGGGCACAAACTCTGCACAGCTGTACATCCAGCATCCACAGCTGGGGCTGATTGATGGAGTTAAAGTGTGTGTATGTCCAGGAGTGTGTGACACTGTGTGTGAGGGATTTTGCGGGGACACATGCGACTGGTACGCCCTCCCTGCTGGTGTTCATATCATAACTGTTGGCAACCTCAGTCCAGGATCAGAGCAGCAGCTCAGGGTGTACAGTACAAGCCGGGAGCAGATGGGACCACCTTACTACACCCGCCCCGTCAGAACAAGTGAGTAACCTCTGCTGATACTAGTACATACTGATGCACATACAGGTGAGATTGCCAGTGGCAGCAGACATATTACAAATGCTTCTAACTTGAAGGTATCAGCATAAATATTTGGGCTGATCTCCACTTTAATTATCTCTTTAGTGATCTTTGTTATTGATCACTTTTTCTCTTCATGATTGCACGGCTTTAGCTGTCCTCATTTGGCATCAATTTAAAGTACTTTTTCACATCTTCATCTCTTTCTGATTGCAGCTATTAGATTAAATGAATCCACCTTATTACTGGCGTCACTTTACTGGTTACCTTTTAATGCCTCGGCGCCAGCGATTGGGGTTTGTTTTTGGGCTTTCCGTTCGTCCCATTCTCATGAACACGGTTTTCTAAAGAATGCCTTGAGGGAATTTCTTCAAATTTGGCACAAATGTCCCCTTGGACTCAATTATGAACTGATTGGATTTTGGTGGTTATAGGTCAAAGGTCAATGTCACTGTGCCCTTGCATCCATCTCATTCTCGTGAATGCAATATCTCAAGAAGGCCTTGAGGGAGTTTCCTCAAATTTGGTACTTACATCCACTTGGACTCAAGAATGAACTCATTACAATTTAGTAGTCAAAGGTCAAAAGTCAAGATGACTGTGACCTCACTGTTTTTGGCCATAACTCAAAAATTCATATGTTATTTATGACACCATTTCACACAGATGTCAAATAGAACATTAGGATGAGAAGATCTTGTTTTATACCCAAAAGGACAAAGGTCAGCTTTACTGTGACATCACAATATTCTGCAAAAACAATTTTCTAGCTTTAACTTAAGTCAGATGCTGACTTGGTGACACTAATCTTGGGTGTCCACCTTGACACTGTGCTGATTGTAAAGATCTTCTGTGCTGCCGGGGGGAGGATGTGTGTGAAGCATCCATGTTTTCACAGACATTGGATGTAAATTTCTGTCTTTGGGGTTGCCTGCAGATACTATCTTATTAGAGCTACAACAATCAGATGATTAATCGATAAGTCAATCAACAGAAAATTAATTGAGAACTATTTTTGTTATTAAAAAGCCATATGTTTGTTGATTTCAAGCTTCTTAAATAAAAGATGTCTTTGTCAATGAAAATAATCTTTAGTTGAAGCCCTAAATATCATCTTTAAATCTGTTTTTAAAACAAAATTACATAGATATGTATGTGGTGTCTTTTATCCTGTTGTTTTATTAGAATGTAAAGGTCCACTGTGTAGGATTTAGCGGCAGCTATTGGCAGAAATCATATATGATAATCATAAATATGTTTTCACTAGCTTATAGTCACCTGAAAATAAGAACTGTTGTGTTTTAATTACCTTAAGATGAGGCTTTTATATCTACATACAAAGCTGGTCCTTGTCCATGGAGTCCGCCATGCTGTTTCTGCAATAGCCCAGAACAGATGAACCAGACACTGGCTCTAGATAGGGCCATTCCAGTTTTGGGGTTTTGGGGTTTTTGTGTTTTCACATCGACCACAGTAGTTATCCTACATGCTTTGCACACAGGAGAAGTTTCAGTTCTGCAACCTCCACTTGCCTTTAAATCCTACACACCAGACTTTTAATATGATGTTTGCTTTTTTTTTGTAAAAGGCTTCTAAACATATCAGTTTCATCATTACTGCAATGATTTAACTCTTTTTTTATAAGTTAGGCATAAACACATAATCCCCAGGTGTTTAAAATATCCCCAACCAAAGAGAATTAGTAATTTCAGTATGTTAAAGTATTAATTACAGTATGTGTTGTGGGATATGGTTTGTGATTTTAGGTCTGGCTCCTCCAGACAGAGTGAGGGAAGGCGTGGTGACGGATTCATCCATAGAGCTGCTTTGGGATCCTGCGCAAGGACACGCTCACAGCTATGAGGTCGTCTGCCTCAACTGTGACCATTCATACATGGTACATAAAAAATACAGGTTTTCTCCTTGAGATTCATGTGAGCAGTAGTTAGCATGATTTTATGTATTAAACATTAACGTGCCCTCTAACTAATACTGTTACTGTGAGAATTATAATAAGGCTCTTTGGATATATCTTGTGTGTGCTACAGGTTCAGAAGGTGTCCAGTCAGAGTGCAACGTTTTCTAGTCTGACTCCGGGCAGGCTCTACTACTTTGCTGTACGAACAGAGAAGGAGTCCTTCACAGACAGTTCCCCTGTTACCATTAACATCACTGCAGGTAAGCACACACACAAACACACACATGTACTCACACTGCTCAATCTTCTTTTATTCAGACTACTACGTGTAATGTTTTTTTATATGCCAGCACCCAGCCCAGCAGAGGTGTCTCTTGTCAATAAAACCACATCATCCATATGCATTCGTTGGAGTACGGTCAAGGGAGTTTCGAGCGGACTCATCCTGTCAATCAAAAACAGAACATCTAGCCAAGAGCTGATCATTTCTCATCAGGAGGCCAGGTCAGTCTCACTCTTGAAAGGCAGTGCACAAATTATTACAGTTTTGTGAGACTGGAATTCCAATCACCACATCTAAACTTTCTTTGATGACAACTGAGTGCAACACAGATTACTCAGAGCTTGTGCTTTAAAACACTGTGTGCTGTGTGTGTTCACAGATCTTACAGCTTTGAAGGCCTCGCTCCTGGAAGTCTTTATACAATTAAAGTGATTAGCACCAGCGGGGAAAGAAAGAGTAATCCTACCACTGTGATCCTCCATACGAGTAAGTTACACAGTGAAAGACATGCAGTATCTGGCACCAAATATCAATCGTGTGTGTGCCCACATTTGCATGTGTGTGGGAGGGAGCGAGGGGGAGAAAGAAAATTATTTGGATTACAAAATGTCGCAGGAAATGAACAGTCAGAAGAGAGCAGAAATGTGCAAATACAATTTAAAATACATATTAGATTAAGACAGTAAGATTTCTGGAAGGAGTTCAGATGTCCATGTTAACAATGAGAGACAAAAAGGAAATTAATTTTTATCTCTCCTCAGTTTCAGCCTTAGGTCACTTCACTGTTAACATTATATTGCAATGTTGTGTCAGAGTAGGACGGTCATTTGAAATAAATCATTGTCAAAATAAAAATTAGAGTGTAAGCTGTGGAGCATAAAGGGACCAGCTGAAAGAGAGATGATGTGTCTTTGGCTTTAAACTTTGCTCATAAAGCTGTTGGACAGTCATAATGCTGATTATACTTTAATTGTTATCTATGCTCGGGGTGAGCTTGAAGAGGATAATGCGTCAGTCATGGATGTGCATGTGTATATCTGTCTGTCCACAGGTAATCTCACAAACTACTGGACCCATTAGCCTAATATTGTTTGTGCACATTTATGACTGCATGCTCAAGGACCTCTTGTGGTTGCAGTGATTCACAGTGTTTGAAAAAACAGTTTTATTGACTGCTCTTTTATGCGGTGATTTACTCCTGACTCTTTGATCCTCTTAATGAGTTGGTAGGGGGCACAAGTGATGGACAAAATCACTTAGTAAAAGGCATTTTGAGCAATTGGCTATGATAAAATAAGTTTTATTGAGTCCGTTGCAGGCCATATTTTAGCTTTGTCGTTTCACAAAAATTGACATCCAAAGAAAAATCTGGTCTTATTTTCATTTATTTCATACCTGATATGTTATGATCCACTAAAGTTAGGCACAATACAAGATGAAAAAATCCCAAATTTAGTTGTCTTTGCCACCATATTGACTGTTAGGGAGCTGGGAGGGACAGTTGAGTGAGATTCAAGTCTTCTTTGCTTGGGAGGGGAGAGGAAGGTAGCGAGAGGTGTTATTGCACATTGTGTCCAACGTTTATCTTCATATAGCCTGTCTACTCTTGTTAGACTTGACAATGTAACCTGCATTTTGTCTCCCCTTCATTCCGCCACTCTCATGCACACATGTTGGACACACAGCCTGCCCTGCAGTCCCTGCTCCCCACTCACATGCTCCCAAACACACCTGGTGGAGATCTGCACTCTACTGAGAGCACTTCTCTAGTTTTGCACATGTTTACACAAAGAAATTATTTATATCACTGTAAAAATCAGCCTCCAGTATTCCCCCGTGCTGGTTCAAAGTGAGCCTATAGGTTTATATAAAGGTCAATTTACACCTGTATTCACAAGTGTATTACCCAGAGTGAAAGACAGTGATGATTATGTGTGAGTACATGGTGTCACATGCTAATAGTAATCTTGTCTCCAGTTCCAGAGGTGCCACAGGAAGTGGCTCTCTCAGAGCAGGTAGTGACATCTGTGTTTGTCACCTGGAGACCACCACCAGGAGAGGTGGAGTTGTACAAGGTAAGACACGTATACCACTGCACCTGTTTAGTTCCACATAACAATCACTGAAGGAAAGTAGGCATTATACGTTGCCACGCCATTTCCAGACAGATAATGATGTGTGTCAGTGTCAGTTGGTTTTCTCAAAATTGTATGTTTTTCAAGGACAAATGAGGCCACTTGCATCAGGTTCTGCACTTACCTGTTGGTTACTTAGCAACCGTTGTCGGCACACCACAGATTTGGTTACCAACCCTTTAAAGATGTATGACCTCCGTAGAGACATGGCCAGGAAGAATGACCAAGCACATTACATGCATGCACAACACAAACCTACATTAAAAGAAATAAAAAAAGAGACATTAGTTGATATACTGACTTGGAGAAGCAAAAAAAAAATCGTCATGTTTTTGCGTCCAGTAATTGAAACTTCACTTGGGTTTTGTAAAGCCTTAACAGAACTCTGAAGATTTCTTTTTTTTTTTCTCAGCTTGTTTTTGGCCTGCAGTCTGTGGACAGGAAATCATGGATTGAAGTGCTTGTCCAGGGCGCACGTTATGAGATCAGGGATTTGATCCCAGGGTCAGACTATGGTGTCAGCATTCAGAGTGTGCTGGGCTCCGACACCAGTCAAGCAGTCCACAGAGAGTTCAGCACACGTAAGAAACACTCATACACACAGGCCAAAATTCTGTACAGTTTTTTTGGAAACAGCAGGCCTGTCAGGATGGAGAAAGTTATTGGTTATTTCTAAGTTAGAGCATCATGCCCTCGTAACACAAATAAATAATTAAATTGTGGCCTAAGTGATAAAAACTGTTGTAAAATTGAAAACACTGTTTTCCAGGCCCAGCAGGATTATGCGCCCTTCATTTAGACAACATGAACTCCTCTTCTGTCTCTGTGAGCTGGGACAGTGCGTTTGGAGAGTTTGACTTTCACAGAGTCACTGTGGCCAACGCCTCAGTCACAAGCACACTCACCATACCCAAGGAGGAGCGGGTTGCCGTGGTTACAGGCCTGGTGGACGGCTGCAGCTACAACATGAGCGCTGAGAGAGTGAGAGGCATGACAGCGGGGAGCGCTGCCTCTTTGACTGTAACCACAGGTAGACCATATTACAAGGGCTGCACCGGTCACCACCCCGTTATTATCAGTGGCCTTTATCAACCTTTTTCATTAAATTACGGAAACTTTCTCCACCTCTCTGACTCCATTTCTCCCTTTCCTGTCCTTCATGAGTGCCAGCCCGTGTAAGAGGAGTGCGTGTGGTGAATGTGTCTGCACGTGCATTCGCGCTACGTTGGGAGCAGGCTGCTGGGTGTGTGGATCATTATCAAGTCAGCCTGCTACCAAACCAGGGACAAGTCACAGTGCACCCTGCACGTGATGGATTCATTCAGGTACACACACACACACACACACTCAGTGGACACACACACTGGCTCAGTCTTTCACTGAATCATTGCAGATGCTGCAGTTCACCTAAAAATCATCAATGCAGTGTTATGAAGAGCAGTAACAGGGAAGGAAGACTGGCATTGCAGAGCTCTAGACTTGCAGCTAAGTTATGATACTGACTGTCCAAACTACACAAACATACGTGCATTATCTCTCCTCCCATTCAACCAAATCCCGCCCCATACCGTCTTCTCCCGGCTGCCAGGTGTCAGATACCCCCCAAAATGTAACCTTACACACCACACACACAGAGCACACAGAGCACAGAGTTGAGTAATAGATCTCATTATTTATTAAGTTGGCCTCATGAGCTCAACTCTGAATGATTCATTTGCTTAAGCAGCTCTCCTGAGAGAGAGAGAGAGAGAGAGAGAGAGAGAGAGACCAGAGGGAGAACGTTAGCCTTGTGCTAATGAGAGGACCCACTGCCCTCCCTGGTTAGCCACTAAAATTTTGGAATACCTCAAGACCACGAGTTGTTAATATGCAATGCCTGGACAACTAACCCTGTGACCTTTACTGATGCCATTAACCAGCCTCTAAACCTGGAGTTATTTCAGCTTGGTGGATTACCTGTAGATCTAACGATTGTGCACTAACACTGGATGCAGCTCTACTGCTGAGGCCTCTAACCAGCTGAGTCTAAACTAAAGCTAACTCTGCTACCCAGCATGGCCTTCTTCTCACTCCTCCTGCTGCTCACACTCTGCTTCAATGAGACACACTCACAGGTAAGAATTCAACACTCGATATCTGGCATTGCTGCACATACAGAAAATGTAACACCTACAGACTGTTAGATTTCTTGTGAAGTGCTCAGCCATATTTCTGGGATGTAACATAAGGTGTTAGTGTGGCTCACTGCCATCCAAACATACTGATGTCACAGGTGATTGCAACACACATTACAGCAAAAAAGACTGCACTGCTTTGTCACACAGACATTAACTAGCACAGAAAGAAACAAACAAGTGCAACCACAAGCAGAAAAAAGCTGTCATCCATTCACAACCACCCACATTCATATTGATACAGATGGCTGAGGATGTAAGGGTCCTCTTCAAATAGAGTTGTGGTGATTTTTTTTAGTGGGCTACATAATGAAATACAACAACAGAAGGCTGTGTGCCCTTAGGGTTAGTGCGGAAAGTAATTTAGATTTATTCTTGCTTCTCTTTGGGGAGATTTTTCAGAGGAATGCTGTACTTTACTAATATATTGTACGGTAATGATTCCTAACCAGGGGTATGTGTACAAGGAATACATCTGCAGTTTTCAGTGAGTAATACTGTTGGAATGATGCCAATTTTGGGGAAAAGAAATAGAAACTATGAATAGGTACAAAAATCTAAATCCACAAATGTCCGTCTAGGAGGAAAGTAAATGATTGACACTTGCTGAAAAAATAGTTGATTAGTTGATTGACAAGAGAAATTTGACAAGAAATTCATCTGCAACTGTTTTTTTAAGCAATAAAGTTTTGCAGATAAGAGAGATCTGCTGGTTCCAGGTTTGCTGCTATGAAGATTTGCTGCTTTTATTTTTCTTATGGGAAAGTAACAAGAATATCTGAGGTTTGCACTGCTGCCAAAACCAGCAATAATAAATGAAAATTGAACAAACAAGCAATGAGAGACGTTACCTTGGGCTTAACGAAATTATGATGGGCCATTTTACTCATTCTCTTATATTTTATAGAGCATTTTATACATTTTATAATTAACAGTGTTGAGTGACATCCAGTTTAAAATCCATTAAATACAAACACATTTGAAACTTGATGGGTGTTTTTAATGAAAAGGTACTTCCAGTGGTGGTAGAAGAATTCAGATGCATTGCTGAAATTAAAGTATTAATTCGTTATTGTGCAATAAAATGGTTGCTGTCAGTGTTTTACTGTTATATATGATGTTTTTGGATTCATGTTTGTGCTGCAGTAATGTGCATTTAACTGCTGTAAATGTTTAAGGATGTGTAGTAAGTAGTAAGTAGTGATTTATTCATCCATTCAACAGAACATGATATTTACATACATACAATTAGGATTTCTATAAAGTATGGGCGAAAAGGCGTAGGCTGAAGCAACAGCTTATTATTGCCTACCCTATTTACAAGAAGGAAAGTTACAGAAACAGAACAAGATAACGGGATGGCACAGTTTTAAACAATGATTTTTTATCTAAACTGAAAACAATAAATAATATTAATCTAAGCAAAATCTTCAATTTGTACTAATAATTGGCTTACTTTATCCTAATATTTTATATTTATTGAATACCTTAGTTTTAAACATCTTTTTAAATTTTGTGACTGATGTGCATGTTTTTAATTCTTTATCAAGGTTATTCCATAAGTTTACTCCAATTACAGATATGCATTTGCCTTTTATGTTGGTCCTTGCCTTTGATTTCTTAAAAATGTTCCCCTATAAGGTCATACTGGGACACTCTGGTTGAGAGCAGCTCCTGTATGCAGGGTGGAAGTAGGTTGTTGTGAGCCTTATAGAGTATTACAGCAGTGTTGAGGTTAACCAGATCTTCTAATTTCAGAGTATTTGTACTGATGAAAAGTGGATTGGTTGGTGCAAAGTAGTCCTTTTGATGTACAATTCTAATGGCTTTCTTTTGCAGGATGAAGATTGGTTTGATGATTGTTTTATATGTGTTCCCCCATACCTCCACACAATATGTTAGGTATGGAAGTATGAGGGAGCAGTACAGTATGTAAAGTGAGTTTTTGTTCACTGTGTACTTAATTTTATGTAGTAGGCCTATTGCAATTGTTTTTGAGACTTTTGTTTTTATATTATCTATATGTGGTTTCCAGCTGAGTCTATTGTCTATAATGGTTCCCAAGAATTTATGTTCATAAACTTGTTCAATTTCGACACCATTTATAAATAGTTTGACCGGTCTATTGATTTTTTTTATTGCCGAATATAATGTATTTTGTTTTACATAGATTCAGTGATAATTTATTAATCTCAAACCACTTCTTGAGGGTCACTAATTCCTTTTCCACTGCACACAAGAGCTGCCCAAGATCTTTTCTGGAGCTATGTAAACTTGTGTCGTCGGCAAAGAGGACAAACTTAAGCAATGGCATTGCATCACAGATATCATTTATGTACAGGATAAAAAGTTTGGGACCCAGCACAGAACCTTGGGGGACTCCATGAGTTATTTTTAGTGGGTCTGAGTCTGCATTATTCATATGCACATACTGCTCCCTGTCGCCCAAGTAGCTTTTGAGCCATTCATGGGCTACTCCTCTAACACCATACCTCTTCATTTTTTTAAAGAGTATGCAATGGTCAGTAGTATCGAAGGCCTTCTTGAGATCAATAAAGACCCCCACAGTGTATTCCCGGTTGTCTATGCTGGTTGAGATTGCTACCACTAGTTCTATTACTGCCATGCCATGTGCTCATTGTATATACTGTTGGGTAATTTAATCTATAGCGATGCATCATATTCTACAAGAACATCATATGTTCGTAGCGTGGCTGTCCTGTGGGAACCACATGTCTATAAAAAGTCAGAAAAAAAGCCTGTTTTCAGCTTTGTGACAACGCATTTATCAACTGATACAAGAGGGTTTATCAAATCAAATCAAGTTCATTTGTGTAGCACATGTTTTTGAAAACAGTTGACCAAACTGCTGTACAAATTAAAAGAATGACACACAAATATATAGCAATGTGACATGTACACAAATATAAAACAGAAAGACACCGGTAAGAACAGTTACATACGATAAAATACTAAAATAATAAAACCACTACAAACAACCACGGGCCATTGAATGTATGTTTTAAGATTTGTCTTGAATGTGTTAATGGAGGGGGAGCATTTTGTTGAAAGTGGAAGGCTATTCCAAAGCTTTGCAGCAGCAACCACAAAGGCATGATCTTTTAAAGAGTTTATTTAGCTTGAGAAGTAGGAGGATTTTCTTCACACATACAGGAACACTTCATCCCCCAGTTTATCACAAACGTTCCACATCAACACATCTGAAGATGCATGGATTTCTGGACAAGAACAATATAAAAAATTGTAATCTGAAAAGTAACTAAAGCTGTTAGACAGATGTAGTTTATAATGTAGTAGAATTATAAAGTTGCATAAAATGGAAATACTCAATTAAAGTATAAGTATGTCAAATTTGCACTTAAGTGAGCACTCGAGTATATACATACCGTAGTTACTTTCAAAATGTAGGGGAACCACTGATCTACAATACATTAGTGTTGAGCTTGTTGGTCTTGTGTGTGCACTGGTGTGTGTATATGTTGTGACCATGTGTCTGTTTTCGCAGGCCGATGTGGTGAATGTTAGTCCGGGGACACAATACAGCGTAACGGTCACCTCGGCCTCCTCCTCCTCCTCCAACATCAGCCCTGGAGTCAGCCGCATGATCAATACTAATGAGAGCGGTGAGACGGGCACGCACTGTTTGTTGTTGTTGTTTAGATGGGTTTTGTTTTTGGGTGTTAAAGTGCCATCAGGTTCTCGTCTGCCCTCTGCTGTTTAATTTAGTCCCTGTGTAGCACATGCACACACACACACTGAGGGGAAGGAATTAGTACAGTACATGTGTGTGTGTTTGTGCGTGTGTGTCTGTGTGTGTTTGTTCCCTGTTTAATTCCTCTTAGGTAACTTAAGCCCGGGCTTTTGAACCGCAGGATGAATGGGTCTGCAGTGAATGTCAGTGAAATGCCACTGCTGTGTGAGGCCTTATTCATCAGAGTTCAGCCTAAAACACTCTCTCTCACACACACACATTCATACACACACGCTCGGAGGATCAGACCCCCACAGACAACAACAGTATTCTTCAAATGACTCTGTGTTCTGTTGAATTGTGATATACACAAGTATCTGTATTGGATATTTGCTGTATTGATGATTTTGAACACAGTATATAGAGTGAAGATGGGATGTGAAGACAATCTTCTGTTCTCTTTTCTCCTCTTTTTTCATTCACACTCTTCCCATCGTCCCCTCTAGTTCCTGGTCCACCTTTAGGCCTGGAAGGAGAGGCTGTGGGCTCTAACGGTATCCTGCTCTCGTGGACCATGCCGCCGGATGCCAACAATATAGACGGATATGTCATCAGGTAATTCTTTGTTGTCTTTTGGAAAAACTAAAAAAGATTTATTTTTGGTCTACTGGAGCAGGTACACACAGGTGGTGAATGTCAGATTCAAAATCCAGGAAAGTGTTATTGTCTTTGTCTGCTGAGTCACCGTGAGACCATGAAAATATAAAGTATCAATTTACTAAATATACATTTGTCAAATTTAATGAAAAGAGAATACCAATAAATAAAGGAAAGACTTACCACAAAGATACATATCAATTAAAAAATAATAAACATCTCTGTGCATTGTGGTTTTGTACACACTTTATTTTTCCATGTGTGGGACTCCAGTGATTTGCAGTTTTCGGGGGTGGAAGAAGCATTCAAATATTTTACCTGAGCAAAAGCAGTAATACTACAATTTAAATAACTCTTTGCAAGTTAAATTCCTGCATTCAGAAGTAATTATTATGCCAAATGGCCCCTTTTGTGCTGTCATATATATCATAGGATTATTACTACTGATGCAATAATGCAGTATTTTTGTTGTTGTGGGTCTAAGTGGAGGTTTTAACTGCTTACTCACTAAGCACAGTGCAGTTTAATTTTATTACAGAGCCCTAAAAACCACATTTTGTACAGTATATTGACAATATTTCAACCTGTTTTTAATTTAAATTGACTTGTTTTAAATGTCCTACAAATTAGTGTCTCCTTGAAACAAGACAGAAGAAGGGATTTTAGAAATTTATTATAACAAATTGACAAAAATTTTAGTCTAAAATAGCCGGAAAGACAGAGATTTCTGTCACTGAGTTCAAAGAGGTACTTTAAAACTGTGCTTAAATACAGGAACTGAGTAAACTTAAAGGTCCAGTGTGTAGGTTTTAGAGAGATATATTGGTAGAAATGGATTATAATATAATAAGCATAAGTATATAAGTAGTTTTCGTTAGTGTAAGGTCACCTAAAAATAAGAATTATTGTGTTTTTGTTACCTTAGAATGAGCCATTTATATCTAGATAGGAAGCCGATTCTCATCTACGGAGAATGTTATGATGAATTGCCATTTTTCTACAGTAGCCCAGAATGGACAATCCAAACACTGACTCTAGAGGGGGCTCTTTGCATTTTGCATTGGCCACTGTAGTTGGCAGCCCCTCCATGACGAGAGCTTAGGAGAAACACTGATTTGTAAGGTGAAACTGTTTGTTTTGGAAAGAAAGTTTCAGCTGGTTGCAATGTGCAATTCTCTCCCCTAGATGCCACTAAATCCCCCTAAATCTTACAAACCGCTTCTTTAACTTTAACTTTTCTTTCTGCCACTGACAGTTTTGCACCTAAATCTAACTGAATATAAGTCTTTTACTGTTGCTCAGGGTCCTTCATCCACCCTCATACTGTTTATTAAAATATAATGTAAGTTTATGTAAGATGATGCTGATCTTAAAAACTGATTTCTCCCTGCAGGTACAAGGAGGTGTGTCCCTACCCCGATCCCACCTTCACCCAGGTGACCAAGTACCTGGACATACCAGAGACGCTGCTCACTGACTTCACCTCAGGTTCTACGTACCACATTGAGGTAGGATACACAATTCAAGATTCAAATCTTTATTCCCATTAGAGAGTAGCTGATAGAAATCTGCTCAAACACAACCAAAGCCAAGCAATAAAAACTTTATGCACCAAAAATAGCACACAAAAAATAGAAGCTTTGATAAACTTAAGAGCCAAATTCTGTGAATATATTTACTTAAATTTTTCTATTCATTAGACACACACCCAAGCACCAACAATCTTAGTGTGTGTGATAACAAGCATATTCCTGGAAACTGTTTTCGTGTATTATCATGTGGACAGATCCCACAGGAGCAGACTATTCTCTTGATCTGGCTGAATGCTGGTAATTGATCCTGGCTGCATTATTAATCAGGTAAACAGATCTATGGATCAGCCATGGCTCTTTCCACTGTCTGTTGTCACTGAGCTTGAATGTGATCGTGCTTATTAGTTTTCAGAATTCATTAACCCACAATGACCTTCATACAAATGGACTCTGAGAGGCTGACACACATTGTGATTATACCTGCACATCCTGTATTTGTGTGTGCGTGCGATTATGAGTTTGTGTGTGTGTGTGTGTGTGTGTGTGTGTGTGTGTGCGTGCGTGCGTGTGTGTGCGTGTGCATGTGTGTGTGTGTATATGTGTGTGTGTGCATGTGCGTGTATCATATTACTGCATCTCACCTGTGAGTGTGGTGGCCCTCTAAGCCATGCACAAAGCTGAACTGACAAACTAAGAACATTGTAATTATGTTAATATCACCTGAATGATAAGCTGTAAAAAACTGCTATCCTATTGCTTCCTTTAATCTGTTTTAAGTAAGTATTACTAACTATTGACAGTTTTTTTTATTTTATTTTTAATTTATCTTGATTCATTTCATTTTATTTTTCTTTATTTCAACAGTGTAATTGCTGTATGGTAATAAAAAAACTTAAAAAAAACTCCAAATACAGTTATTCTCAGGCAATTAAGATAAAATCATGAACACTGTTATTAAGTGTTATTAAGGCCTATTTCTTATGTGACCTTTAAAATGTCCAATTCATGTTACTATTCTTAGATTTCGATTAAATATACTTTATTTTAAACATTTAAAAAAATAATAAACTACTCAATATATATAAAATGTATGCTCTATCCTACTCCATCAATACACAGTCAATCTCATAAACAAACTCTCTGTCCCAGCGTGCATCCCCATGAGTAAACTACTCTGTTTATGCTCTTCATATATAATTAACAACACTACCCAGAAATGAACAAAAGAAAACCAATAACAATATTACCATAAGAGAGCTCTGCATTCCCCCTCCTCATTTCTGTACTTCGCAAAAAGTATTTTTTTTGTACATCCTTTTAAACTGACTGATGTTTTTACTTTGTTTGATCGCTTCCTCTAGTCCATTCCACAAAATCACCCCACAAATAGATAGATACTTTTAGGGATTGAATTTAATTAATGTTTCTTTTTTAATATATTTAATTTGGTCTTTTTTACTTAATGTTAAAAGTATTGTGTCTATGTATTTTATCTTAGTCATTTCTTATTAAATTTAATTATTTATTTGCATTTAATTGTTTTCCCTCTCTTTTTAAATTTGCTTATTTTTCATACAGTAACAATCTCAAAATACAATCCTATATCTTTTCACCTATTTCATCTGTCTTCTATCAGTCAATGTATATAATTTTACATTTTTTAATATAAATGGAAATGAGCATTGACGCAGCAATATACTGTGTGCATAATCTTCTTTGGCTCAATAAAAATATATATTTTTTAAAGACCAATTCAGAGTCATTGATTCACTCTATGGTAATTTGAGGTTGCAGTTTTTAATGTTATTTTTGCATTAGACTGCACTGTGCAGGTGTTGTGCTTGCTCTCTGGACACGCTCCTCTGTAGATTATTTTCATCACATATTTGCATTAAGAAACATTTTTAAAGCCAATTAGAAAAAAGATGAAAAATGCCCTATGGCCAAACTAAAGACACAAATATGTTCCTTCTATATTAATTAGTTGACATTCTGTTTAATATGCAGTGTGTTTCATAGTGCTCCACTATAAATATGAAGTATTGAGTTGGTTCATACGCCCCAGCTGGAAGCAGCTGACCGCCCACTGACTGAATCATCATTTTAATTACAACAGTCACAGCCCATTTTCACAGCAAGGCGGTCCATTTAAATGTGACGTCCTACTCACTGATCCCTGCTACACCAATGCTGCCACACACCGCTGCTGCTGCTGGCAAAGCTTTGCCTCCACCACCCCAGCCTCCGCCTTTCTAATTATGAGTCTCTTCATGGCTTAAAGGTCAAAATGGCATTTAATGTCTTGCTTTGGGCCCACTCTTGTATACCCGGGGGTGTTTTCTGCATTGTGCTCACTGTTTTGCCTTGGCATGCTGCTTGTCTAATGTGAGGAGTGCTGCTTGTCTTAAGTGCAGACCCATCAATGCCAAGCATATCTGTATTTCCATTTGTTGCAATAAATGGTTGAATCTATGATGAGTGTGTTCCCGGCAGAAATCTAGTAAATGAAAGCTGAAGATGGATCTTTCAAGATAAAATTTTGGAGGTGGCATTCATTATTGTCCATTTAGATGAATTTCCCATTAGCCAGATAATCAGGCTTTAATTGCCATTTCATTTTCGTGTCATTATTAATTTCTTTATCATTCATTTTTTATTTATTTTCTTTTAATCTTTGAGAAGATTAAAGATGTGGGCAGAGGCTGAGTTCTGTTTACATACTATTGACACATACCTGGTGTATACTGTTGTAACATTGTTGTTCACATGTTTCTGGGATCACTGAATCACCTTGAACAGAGTGCTGTTCCAGTTGTGATCATTGCCTGAGATTAGCACCCAATCGGGATCTGGTGACTGCCCTATTGACAGGAACATGAATTATTCATTATTAGTAATACCTATACCATCTCTGTCTCTCCGTCTCTCTGTCCCTTTAGGTAGCAGCCATAGTTCCCGCTGGAATAGGAGCCTTCAGCAAATCTTTATACATAAAGACAGCAGAGTCCCGTGGGTTTTTGTGCACATGCACACACTTGCATATGATCTCAAAATCACAGTCATTTTATATTTACCGTATTGTATGTCTGTGTGTGTGTGTGTGCATTAATTTCTGTGTGCATTTCCTGCAGCCCCCGGCCTGGTCACCAACTTGACTGCGTTTGCTCAGAACCACACCTCCGTCATGGTCACCTGGTTCCTGCCGCACCGCATCAACGGCCTCATCACAAAGTTTGCTGTCAAGGCTAAACACGCTCGTACTGGGCAAACGGTCCGCACGTTAGAGGTCAACGCAGAGGACATCATGACCGGAGCGCTGCCTCACTGCAATGTACTGCATTACACATTTTCACCCTTTGTCTTTTCCACTGAACTGTTATTGTGAAATGTTCTGTTCTGTCTGGATTATAGATGCAACCAAAGCACAAGGACAAACATTTATACAACATAGGGCTAGATTTTTTTCTAATATACTTTTCCCTCTGTGTATGTCCTGTGTGATTTGTATCTATAGGATGCAGCTGATATCCTGTCCCGCGCGACTTTTAGTCCCTTGGAGATAACAGCATCGTCGTCACCCATCACCCTCTCCGCCGTGCCCCCTGCAGCTTCCTGGAGTGTGCCCATATCTGTAGGAGTTGATCAGCTACGACCTTACACTGCCTATCTGTTCGAAGTGTCTGCCTTTACCTCTGATGGAGAGGGACAGATAGCCTCCACTATGGTCCGCATGCCAGAATCAGGTGTGGAAAAAGAAGCAAAACAGGCCCCAGTCCAGACTGTAGTTAGCATATAAAATATTTACTGCATTTATAAATTAATGATCTCTGTGTGTTTGTGTATGACAGCCCCAGAAGACCCACCACAGAACTTCTCCATATTGAATATGACGTCTAGATCAATATCTGTGTCCTGGAGCACTCCCAACATTATTACAGGAAAATTCACCTATGTGCTCTACCTTTATGGGCCAACAGGTTGTTAAATATTCACTCTTGAACACACTTGCATGCATACATAGACTGACACAAACTCTAAATTGATAGAAATCCACTCACAATTTTCTGTTTCTTCTTCATCCCAGGATATTTGTATGAAAACAGCACAGCAGACACGCGGTTTTCTCTGACTGGTTTGACCCCCTACACACGGTACACGGTGGCTGTCCGAGCCAAAGCTGCTGGAGAAGTGGGTCCAGCAGCGCAGGATGATGTAATTACACCTGCTGAGGGTAAGACCACTCATAAATTAATGTACTAACATATGTATTTTTGCGTTTAGATGTATCCTCAGGAATTCACTTAGAATTTTGTTTTGTTCACTTCTATGTCTGTGTCTAATTCTCCCTGGCTCTATTTGCCCTATGTGTGTGAGTAGCACCCAGTGCAGTACAGGACTTGATGGCAGAAGCCGAGGATTCAGTTTCAATCCGTGTGAGTTGGAGAATCCCTGCCCAGCCCAACGGTCCGATCACCCAGTACAAACTGCAGGTTCTGGTTGGCGAGGTTCTGCTGCAGGAAATCACCCTCCTGGCAGAGATGGTAAGCCAGATGTCACATCTATGTATAGCCACCATAATTGCATCACATCACAGCTCAGTGCTAATAAAAACTCAGTGTTAAAACCTGAACCTGTTCAGCTGAAAAGGTTGAAAAATCCTTGGATGTATACTCACAGTGTGTACTAAAGAAACATGTTTTTTTCCATTGTAAAAGCACTTGATGATTTTCAGGGTTAGGACATCTGTATGACCCATTAGAACTGTTGTCAAATTCATCCATCCATCCAAATACACTGCCACACACTTCTATTGGGTCATAAGTGATGATTGAGACAGATTACTTTTGAGTGCATACATCGTTTTTCAGGAAAATCCTGCATAGTATACCTTTAAGAGCTGATGAGCCAAAATGATACAGAATCAACGCTTTGCTCTGCACCCAACCAGAGTAAATCGAAAACTACAGTCAGACGATAACATGTATATTTCTACCTTCAGAATACAACTGGTTTGCATGAAGATGAGACCGTTCCCCCTGATGTCCAGGACAATCCAGGGCGTCGTAAGAGAACTGCTGAGCTCAGTCTGGTCACATCACCGCCCACTTTCACAGCTACTATTTCTGCCCGCACGCTGCCCACTGGTGCAACCGCTTCCACCGTCACACACTTTGGTCAAAGAAGCGCTGACCAAATCACTAACACCGACGCTCAAACAACTGCTGACTCCATGGTCACAGAAAAGCCCAGCACTAGTTACGTTTCTGCGTCACACACTTACAGCACAAACAGTCAGTCTTTTGACTCTGCGGTCTCTGGGACCTCTGCATTCTCTCTCACCTCTGTGCCAGCTGCTACACTTCCACCCTGGCTGACAAAGCAATCACACGCTGGGGATATGACCTCAGATTCCTCCCCCTTGGCTCTGACCCCAGGCCAGCTACGCCTGTCCACACACGATGCATCAATTACTGGACACGCAACACGTAGTGTGGCAACTTCTGGTACTACAGGTGGGAGAGCGATAACCATGAACACTGCTTCTCTTAACTTCCTGCAGCCCTTCATAGAAGGATTTTTATCTATTCCAGTGCTAAATACTGTGTGTGCATGTGGTCTTGTGTATCGATCTGTGTCTCCATGCATGCTGCAGGTGTGACAGTTAGAGAGGAGGTGATGGAGGTTTTGTCTGAGGAGGTGTCTTACTTGGTGTCAGATCTGAATCCCTTCACCGAGTACACGTTCAGGGTCACTGCCTCCACAACAGTGGGAGAGGGACCTGCAACGGACATCACCGAGAAGACCAGGGAGCAGGGTCGGTGGTCACATTACATCACATTACATTACATTTATTTAGCTGACGATTTTGTCCAAAGAGACCAACAATAAGAGCATTCAACCATGTGGATACAACCCCAAAAAGTGCAAGAATCATGCAGTCAAGATCTACTTTAAGTGCAGTATTTAAAGAAAAGAGGAAATAGAAAAGGAAGTGTTTTGTTTTGCTTTTACATGTCACTTGGATTAACCCTGAACGATAAAAAACAAACAAATGAGAAGGCTAGCAAAACCTTAACAATTCTTTGTCCCTAATAATGTCTTTAACTGTATGTGTTGTTTAGTCCCAAGCTCAGTGCTAGAAGTTTCCTATCAAAACATCAGCTCCACCTCCATACAAGTAACCTGGGTCCCACCTCTCAACCCCAATGGGCGGATCACTCATTACACTGTCTATGGCCTCAAACTGCACAATAATCAGGCCTTGACATGGGTTACAAATACCACCAGCATATTGATAACAGGTAATCAACTTTTCTGCTCAGCTCTATACAGTCATTATAATAATTATGGTACCAGTCTGTTGCTAAATGTCTCTGTTCTAATGTATAGATTTGGACAAGTATACTGCATATAAGCTACGTGTAGCTGCATCTACAGCTGTGGGCGAGAGCTCTCTCTCTGAGGAAGACGACGTTTTTGTTTTCACCTTAGAGGACGGTATGTGCTGAACACAAACTGTACATGTAAATATGTGATACTAGGTTAGTTAGATTGTTTGATTTGATTATGTCTCAGTCTATAATCTATCAGTTTAATCACATTTTATTCAATGAAAGATCACTCTGGGATTTTTCTTGTCCGTCCCTTCCTCAGAGCCTGACTCTCCGCCTGTGAACCTCGCTGTGGTTGACACCAGCCCCTCCACTGCCACATTAGCCTGGTCTCCTCCAAAACAAGCCAATGGGATAATCCAACATTACGAGGTCCTGTATGAGAACGAATCCTACTCTGCGTTGATGAACACGTCCTCTAACACAGTCACTCTGATGAACCTGAAGCCATTCACCTACTACAATGTGTCTGTGAGGGCGTACACACGTTACGGCCATGGCAACCAAACATCTGACACTTTATACCTGCTGTCTGGAGAAGATGGTGTGTTGATAGATGCTTGCAAATACACTCTTATGAAACTCTTAAAAATAAAAAAAGTAAAAAAGTAAAAATATCATCTGTTCAGATTTTAGTAAAGGTGCATCTTGTGTTCTCTCTCCAGTCCCAGGCAGTCCTCCATACAATGTTACTTATGAGTCGGTCAGTCCCAGCGAGGTGAACGTGACCTGGGAACCTCCTTTGATGCCTAATGGGATCATTACCCACTACAGCCTAGAGCTGTGGAATTCCACCCACTACCTAAACCTCACCTCCCTCACCAACTTCATCCACGTCACGCATCTGAGGAAATATGCACGCTATCGCGTCATGGTGCAAGCACACACACGTGTCGGGCCAGGAAACCACAGCAGCGAGCCACTCAACATCACCACACTGGAGGATGGTGAGAGGGATGGGTGGGGGAGGGGAGAAAAAGGGGAGGGTTTGTTTTCAGTTCCAGGACACTGCACGATTACATCATGACTGAGTTCGAAGGGCATCTGATTAAATCTGACTTTTCTCTCGTCTTTTCCTCTTCAGTTACATCTCTGTTTCAGCTCATGCTAATCATGTTACATCACAGGTATTTGATGCCACATGACCCGCGTGATCCCCATCAGGACTGAGAAGCACAAACAACAACATCATTACAACTAACCTGTTTTTTTAATTTCAGAGCAATATTCTATGTCTGTCTGGCACGTTCCTGAGGTTCTTATCCGCCCAGTGCAAATATATTTTTTATCACTCATCAGATTCTGTATTGACAGGCCATGCTCCTGTTTGTATTACATTACTGGAAAGCCTTTCTCCTACATCTCAGCTCCAGACACACCTCCACAGTTCCTCCGCGCCAGGAAGTTGTCAGACTATGAGGTAGAGTTGTCATGGGAACCGCCCCGTGAAGCCAATTCAGACATACTCTACTATGTGGTCAGAGTTTGGTAAGTTTCTTTCTTCCACCTCTCTCTGTCTGTTTAAAAAAGAGATTTAAAAGGAAAACAGAACACATTGCAACATCTGGTGGCTCTCTTTGTCAGGAATGAAACGACTGAGCTGTGGCAGAATGTGACAGGGACATCAGTGGTTATTAATGTAGACTCAGAGAGTCGCTACAACGCCTCCGTTTCCAGCTGGACCAGGCTGGGAAATGGAGGAGTGCTGATCTACATCAGCTTTACCACCACTGATGCAGGTGCTTGATGATTAGCAGAGCATTTTTAGATAGATAACTTTATCATCCTCTCATACAAAAAAAATCTTTACACTGCATTTGAATGAAGCACTTTTTTCTCACTTCCTGAATATTTGTCTGTGCTCTTTGGCTTTCAGAACCATTCGACCCCCCTCAGAATGTGACTTATGCAAATGTGACCGCCTCCTCTGTCACCTTATTGTGGCACCCGCCTACTGAACCCAATGGGATCATTGTACACTACACAATTTACTACTCTGATAACGGCACTGTCGCTCAGCAGGTGAGAGACATGCACCATATATATCTGTCAGCAAGTGACAGATTAAAGCTGCATGCAGCATATTTTTATATAAAAAATAGGTCAAATGACTACTTGTAATGTAGAAAGTGTTGCTAGTCGTGACTCAGTGGTTCTCCATTTTAGTGTCTTTTAGCTCATTGTTTTGGATTTCTGGCCTGCAACTTTCCTGTTTTGGTTCCCTCACACTGCTCTCATTGACTTTGTTGCCAGCAGCAGGTAGTTGTTTCCAGCTAAGAAAAACCTTACTGTAAGCTACATGCACAACACCAAACAGTCAAAGTTAGCAACTAGCTGGTAACATAGTGCTGCATTTAGCAGCTAATGAGCCAAATATTTCCCTGAGTAGTGTATAGAGACCAAAACAGAGCTAAAAGAGAGAGAAAATTTACCTACATTGGTTGGGTGAACACACAAAAAAAATAAATGCAAACATAAATAAATAAATAAATGCAAACATTGCTTTGTGTCTCTTGGATGTGTAAATAGCTAACTAACTCTAAGCTAGTTGCTTACACATTCATAAGATCAGCTTTATAATGGGATGATATATCAATATTTTGTTCGTCACATAGACTGTATACTGGATACAGCCACCCACTGGTTTGTAGAGTCCCATTTTGAAGCTTAAGTTTGGCATTTTGGCCGTCACCACTTGGCTTTTTGGAGCCAGAAGTGACTAGATGTGGGTGGATCTAAATCATAGACTATGGTGACACCAAAGCTATTCAATGAAGGACTGCACACAGTCTTTGCCCCAGTGAGAGCTATGTGGTATGACACGTGTAATGTAACTGGTGCTGCAATTTAGGATGGTTACAGTGGACGATGATAGTAATAAAGGGATGGTGTACCAGGCTGTAAACATGTTTGTTTCTGCAATAGTTGGGCATTTTAACATGGGTTTCGATGAGTACTGACTTGCTCCTGGAGCCAGCCTCAAGTGGCCATTTAAGGAACTGTACTGGAACTGTTTTTGGGACTTCGGCATTGGTTTCATTTTTCAGCCCAGATGGTTGCCGCTTGGTTTACAGCTTCCACTTCCCCCAAGTGTCCAAAAACCTAAAAAATCTGAATAAATTAGTGTGGAAACATAATAAATGCAGGATTAACACCTGGCTGAGACACTTAATGATAGGTTTTCATTTCATTTGTCACCCATCTGCATACATAGCACGTATTGTGCTCTTGATTAAAGGCCTCTGTCAGTGTGTGAAAGTAATCCTAACGCTCCTTTTTCTCCACAGAGGGTTCCTGTTTCAGACTTACCTGCACCTGCCTCCCCTGATTCAGCCCTCTCCTACACTCTGACTCGGCTGATTGGGGGCACAAACTACATCGTGTGGATGACCTCCAGCACGGTGCAGGGGGACGGAGGGGTCCAGAGCGAGCCACTAACCCTGTTCTTACCGGAAGACGGTCAGTCAGACACACATATGCACACAGTCCCACATACATAAATAAGAATAATTTTAAAAGAATAGACTTAAAGATAAAATTCTACACATAACGCTAGGTAATTATTGGTAAAGGTAATTATTGCATAGGATGATTCAAAGTCTCGCTGGAGGTTGAGTCTGCACACTTTTTTCAAAACTCTTCAACTTCTAAAAAAATAAAAAATTACATAAAAACTTGGCGATTGAAGACGTGACTTTCAGCCTGTTAGTGAAAGGAGATAACCGTCAGTCTGGCAAACTGGCTCTATTTTTGTCTGCCTGTGACTCTGTGCCTTGAAGACAGCCAGTTTGTGTTTCCTTTTGCTAAGCACGACGAAAGTTGTGAGGGATTAAAAAAAAAAGACAGAGCAAAAGAGAAAGATAGCGCAGAACCGTTTACGATATGATGACAGAGGAAAAACAAAGCCTGACGTGCTTTAAGAAAGTTCAAGCTGGGCTCATGCTACGATTGCATTGTTGCCACGGAAACCAAAATTTGGATGTAATATTTAGTTATACTTAGTGTTTTTGATGTCCTCAGTGGGAAAAAAAGTGAAGTGTACATAAAGCTGATCTCTTTGTTTTTATGTTATTTTGGGAAAAATGGTGCAGACAGCCGCCACAGACTTTGTCACATACATTTCATGTTTGTTATTTTTTTTTTTTCTTGTTAACATATTCTCTGTCTCTGAATGATTACTGCTCATACTGACTCTGTATCTCTGCCTGTGCTCTAGCTGCTCCACTCTCAGCAAAGCAGTGGATCTCCAGGGCTCCTTGTCTCTTCCGCACAGCCAAGCCCCCCTGCTGGGCTCAGACCCCCACACACACCTGGCCCCTCACATCCACTCATTCATCTTATGGATCTGTCAAGTTTTATCTCCCCTTTCCCCTTCATCTCCCCCTTTTATTTCTTCTCTGTGTACCATGCGTTATTTTCGGAGGGGCTGAGACGATGAACAGGATGAGTATTTTCTCCTCAACCCCTTTTCTTTCCCAAGGTTTTCAGTGTGCGAGTTTCCCTTCCAAATGCCTCTGTATGTCCCTGAATGGGCTGTTCATTTAGTCGGATATTGATTCTGTGTCTGTTTACTGTTTTCCTATGCTGTGTTTCTGTGTTGTTAAAGTAATGTCATGCCGTATTGTTCTACTTGATGTGCTGTTGTGGGTTTTGTTAATTACAACAATGCTGCCAGTGATTATGACGGTGCTTGTGACAGATGATGATAATGATGATGATGATGATGGCTGGTGCGCTGTTCATTTTCCCTCAAGTGTCAGAGTGTGTATGGTTGATTGATGCCCTCATTTACTGCCTCGTAGTACAGTAAACTCACATCAAAGGGCTCACAGTTTTCAATCAGTCTATTCACTGGTGGTTAATAATAATAACACTATTCTTCTTGTCTTGCTTCTGCAGTGCCAAGTGACTCGGTCCGAAACCTGACTGCTCAGATCTTCAGCTCCACGACCATCATCGTCAGCTGGGACCCTCCCATGGAGCCCAATGGCCGCCCCACCTACATGCTCACCTTACAGGAGGCCGGCACCCCCTTGGACGTATCCAACCAAGGGGCTCCGGCTGTCAACAAGACCATCAAGCACAACACAACTGACAATGTCTTCCTGTTCACCAGACTCAAGAAGTATTTCCCTTATGTGTTCACTGTTACCCCGGCAACTGCTGCTGGCGCTGCCTACAACCACACCAGCACGTTGTATCTGAGAACGGATGATGATAGTGAGTTTATTTACACAGACATTCACTAATGGTGTATGGTTCATGTATTTATTGCGACACTTTTTCTCTTCAGTTCCTAGCTCTGCTCCATTGCTGGTGTCCACCAGGAATCTGTCGTCATCCTCTATCGAAGTGGTGTGGCAGCGCCCTCTAGAGGCCAATGGGGAGATAACAGAGTATACCCTCACTCTGTTTGGCCCGGGGGGCTCCAACATAACACATACCCTCGACACCTCCTTCACCCTCACCAACCTACTTCCATACACAGCTTATAACCTCACCATTACGGCTGCAACCCGCAAAGGCTCAGGGCCTTATCTGATGCTGCAGCTGCACACTGATGAAGGAGGTTAGTTTGAAAGCAGGTTTATAATATCTCTGAGATCCTAATTAGATGATACAAACTCATGAAACTGTGGGTATACTGTCCGTTTCAACTTCTTCTCTATCTGTCTAACTTTGTGTTTCAGGCCCCATGTCTCCTCCCCGTAACCTGACTATATATAACCACACAGCAGTCTCTGTGTGGCTGAGCTGGGAGCCTCCTCTGGAGCCCAATGGAGTGGTGATACAGTACGGCTTTAGGATCCGAGACCTCATCACACACACCATCACACACAGGGTACCGTTAATTTCACACACCGAAAAAGCTGCTCCACACAACAACAACACTCACACTTGCACACACTTGGTAAAAGTACACACTGTCACACTTACGGTAGCTCTAATTTCACACTCCAGATACCACTCAGCAGTAACACTATACGTACACACACGTGCACATATGTGTGCTGATAAAATAAAACATTATCCACTCCAGTAATCAGGATTTGATGATTTAATCTCCTATGTGTCACTTTATATGTGTGTATGTAGAACTCCTCTGGCTTGTCGACCACAGAGTATATATCAGGCTTCAGGCCTCATAGCTCCTACGAGATCAGTGTTTACAGTTACACCAGAGTGGGCCACGGGAATCAGTTCAGCAGCCCTGTGACCTTCACGACTAACGAGTCAGGTAAAGTACACACTCTCTACACATGAGAGATGTAACACTGATTTAGGTCACTGCTTGTTTTGTGGTTCAAAATTGATTTGTACTGTATTTTCGCTTCACTTCAGAATACCTTATTTGTCCCTTAAGGAGCAATTAAAAGGAAGCAGGTTTGCAGACATAAAAACACACAAAAAACACTTTCATCCACATGCATCTAAAAAATAAAAAATTGACAGAGTAAGAACTTAAAAGAAAAGAATAGGAAAAACAAGTTAAAAGATATAAGAGCTTGTGGCCAGTCCATAGCAGTCCAACAAAGTCTAAAAGCTCTGTACAAACAGCAAACTTATCATCTCTTTAAACTCAGCTGTTCACAACTCATATGGCTTCTGAGATAAAAACCAAACTTTCATCTATTTGCTTTAAATACATGCAATCTAACACCCATTCCCGGTGCCTTTGGCTTAAAGTAGTCATGAAGGGCATGTGTGGGGTCACTGATAATCGCACAGGCCTTCCTGAGGCTGTGCAAGGGAGCTTATTGTTTAGCCAGTAATTTCTGAGGTTATCAACATCTTACAATCAGCCATTCCTTTTTTTCTTTGCTTTTAATAATTCAAAGTGTTATTGAATTTTATAGAGAGAATATTAAAAAACAAAAAGCTAAACAAAACAAAGCCCCGGCAGGTAACCAGACACTGATGTAAGAAAGGCAGTTATTTGGTTGCACTAACGTGGTAGGCATTAGTATTTATGACAACAATTATAGATTCTTATCAAGGTTAGGTTGCTCCCTCAGATATAAACCTACTAAAGCCTAGTCTTATTGTTTTTTTAACCATGTTGTTACAGTTTAATCGTCCCAACGTCTTTTCACATGCAACAGTTTCCATCATTTATTCCCACTACATTTTCAGTGTAGGCATTTTAGGCTCTTTCTAACGTCTTAGAATCAGCTGGGCACAAATTATTAGGCCAGCTGTTAATACTCGAAATGCAAATTCGCTCAACTGCAGCACTCCAGTTTTGTCCCTAAGGAGACACAATGTTGGTGATCTGGGCAGTAAACATTCTCACCATTCACCAAAATATTCCACAACATTCCTCTGTAAGGGAGAGACCATGGGACACTCCCATAATGCGTGCATGTATGTACCTTTCTCTGTTTTACATTTCCAATAGGGCTGCCCTGGACTAAGAATTTTCCTAATCGACCAGTAGTCATCATTTAGGGCCATTAGTCGACTAGTCGCCCTCATGTTTACGATATTAATTTAATTATTAAATGATATATTTTGGGCGGGGCAACACAATGGTTTGAGTTGAAGGTGTGAGAAAGAATAGTATCAGTAACATTGTTAACACTGTGCTACATTACAGAGAAATACAAAACCGTACTAATGAACCTTCATTAATATAGGCCTATATTTTATCTACAAGTGCACGTCACACACTGAGCGAGCCGCCTGTTAATGACGCTGTCGGCAAAGCAGTAATGATTGTGCTAAGTGGCTAATGGGCATGTAGCTACTTACATGTTTCAGATGATACGTCATGTTTGTAGTCGACCAATGAAGATGAGTTTACATATCACCTTGGGTTCGTCCTTCACCTTCTCAAAATGATCCCACACTTTGGATTTCCTGCCCGACATGTTATTAACTAGCCTGTGGAATAACCACAGGTACCAGCCCTGTGAATCAATGTGACTCCTGTCTGACTGCTGAGCGTGGCCACTTCATGTGTCTGTCCTTTCAAATTACATTTCTACATGGTCCAGCCATATAGGTTTGGATTTATTTTGACAAGGCATTATTAACTAATCTTTAGTTAGACCCTTTTTATTGAGTCTTGTAGTCTTGTGTTTAAATTAAAGAAATTTTCTGATATATTTCCCATTGTTCGGAAAAAAATCCTCTCCCATGTTTCTCCATTAAATCTACAACACATGTCTCTCATTATCTTAAGGTTTTTGCAGCCACTGTTATTTACCCAAGGACACATCTCATACCCCTTTGATGCATTATGAAACATTATGGTAGCTATAGGTAGCACTCTTCTTTCCCTTTAATACAGTGTCTAATTTGTGAATATTTCTAAAGATGACCATGTCCCTGCAAATTAAATTTTGCCTCATTCTGTTACAGGAAAGGAAATTGGCCTCTTTGAATAGGTCATCTAGTATTCTGATACCTTTTCATAACAATATCTTTTATGTACCTCTTGCTAAACTGTCTTGGACTGCTTGGATGGGATTCGTCATATTATTTTTCACCCTTATTTAATGTTTGTGCTAGAGCCTCAGTAGGTGTAAAAGGAGAAGTAAGATCCTGTTCAATGCGGATCCAGTACTTTGAGAATTTGTTCTGTCCCAGTGTCTGGCAAGCTTCAAAAATCCATTCTTGTCCTTTTGACAAATACATGTCAACCAACAAATGTATAAAAAAAAATCAATGACAGTCTGTAAACTTTGTCTGCAGACTGCACATTTGAAGTTTCCCCTCACCCAGAGTCCTGCAGCCTTTTTTCAGCATGTACAGTTAAAGGTCAATACCGTAATTGAATTTGGTTCATCTCTCTGACAGTGGACAGCAAAGAATGCTAACTAAAGCTAATGCTAGTCTAACAGTGTCACTGTCTCATCTCTGTCTGCAGTGTCTGACGCAGTGGGGAACCTGTCTTGCTCAGGAGTGAGCTGGGATTCAGTTCAGCTTTTTTGGGAGCTTCCGGCCAACCCTAACGGGCAGATCATATTTTATGAGATTGTAGTGGAGGTGGACTCGCAGTCTTACACACACCAGGCTTACGCACCAGAGTACACAGTGACTGGGTTATCTCCAGACCAGGAGTACATGCTCACTGTGGCTGCAGTCAACTCTGCAGGACCTGGAGACAGACTAAACTGTACTGCATCCACTCTGTCTGAATCAGGTAGTCAGTCTCACTGCATTGTGTAACATTTTGGCTTATAAATGCTTTTATACAGCAGTGAAAAAAAATGAATAGTTTAATCTTCTTTTTTTTTCCCTATAAAAGCCCCGGCTGCCCCTCGCTTCCTCACCATCTCTCAGGTCACACCTAACAATGTGACACTTGGGTGGGCGCCGCCACTTTCCATTCCAGGCCTGCTGAAAGAGTACCACGTCATCGCACAGCTGCTTTCGACTGTTTGTGAACCGAATACACTAACTACTGCACAGCCGGCCCCAGAGGACGAACTGCCCTCGGACTGTGTGGACTCTATTGTCACTGTGTCAGTGAATGCTTCGGACGGAGTTGAAGAGAATGAGCACAGCATCACACTTCAGTCCCTGGCAAAGTACAGATACTACCGCTTCAAAGTGGCTGCTGTGACCAACGCTGGAGTGGGAGAATACACGCACTGGAACTACGCACGCACCCTGGCTGGAAGTAAGAACGTCACAGTGATGCAATGACCTTTTTGTGTTGCCAGGGCAGAGTTGGCAGTTAGTCATGACCTCAGGAGGAATATTTGACTAATAAATCTGTAAGTTTTTTTCAGGGTGTTCCAGTAAAAAAAATATACAGTATTTTTAACCCTATCTGGACTGATGTATGGATATTCTTTAGTAAATTAAACTGTATCTTGTGGAAGATCTTCATGCATAGTGTAAGCAGGTTTCTCTCATGTCTTGCCTATTAATATACAGGTTACTGAATTAACTTTCAAAGGGCTGTGGGTGAAGTAAGAGCACAGGGACAGCTTCTCTGTGTACTTGATCCACTTTAATGTCCAAAAAAGAACGTAGGACAACTGAACACTGACAACAATAGTGGCATCTCACATCTTATATATCCTCCTGAGACCCGAACTTTTGTTTGGTATGCATTTTTATTTTCTCAGAGCTATTTTGGATCAGTAGGACCCAATGAGTATAAAAAACTAAACACTCAATGACAGTTAAATCCCAATGACTTCAAACGAGTACTTCCTAATTAACAGAGTCTGAGCTTGTTACTGTTGCTAAAATTGGTCAACTTTGTTGCCATATCAAACTACAAACATTATTAACCATAAATAAACAAGTTTCAACCATAAACTATGATCAGGTTTTGCGCCGTGTCCACTTTTGTGTCGGGATCAGCTGCAGACTGACTTGGCAGAGATGGCTGCCATCTTGTTTTTACATGGATTAGTGTATTGTGCTCCTACTACCACTAGATGGCACAAAAAAGTGTCCATGAATGAGGACAACAGGTTTAAGTTAAGTAGAATGACGTTTGAGGTCATGTAAACCCAAAATATATGAGAACACAGGGTCTCACAGGAGGATATCATTCTGCCAAACTTAATCATAACTCTCATTACCTGCACGTAAGGTGCACGATATTAAATAGTCCCAAATTAAACGTAAAGCAGCACATAAAATATTTAAACAATATATGAATGTAGTTAACATTAAATTATGTAGATGCAATATAATGAACAGAGAAAAACAAGACAATCTACTGGATACATCCTCACGAAAATAAATCTCATCCTACAGTAGTATTATGGTAAAGCATAATGAAGTATAATCATTAGTTGAAACATCTCAATGCATTCAGAATGAGCAGAAACCACTGATCATTACCTCTTCTTGTTTTTTCAGTGGTTCACACTCTCATAGCACTGTGTTGCTACCCTGCACTCCCTGTAACGCAGCCTTTTCTCTTTTTAAAACCCGCTATGCTTATTAATAGCAGCAGTGGGATTTGTGCAATAAAATCTGGTGGTATAATGTTAAAGACTTTGAGGTGAATCACAGGGGAAAACAGATATATGGGTTTGATAGTAGATCAGTAGGGGATTTTATGATTTGTTAAAACATGCATCTGTAGAAAACTGAACATATTGATTTATTGATTGATAGAGAACCACATTAAACAACAGCAAAACTACATCAAGCCTCATTTATCTAGGCGTATGCTCAGTACTTCCAAAATTCATGTGTTTTGGAAGTACTGAGTATATGACTGGATAAATGAGACTTGGATTATACTGCAGGAGTTGTGTGAGTTTGCAAACAGATGTTTTGATATAGTCTTGCTGTTTGTGGACCCTACTCAAGTAATAAATCAATATGTTCATCATTTTCCCTGGAGGCTAATTCAAGGTTACACTGCATGACTAACTGATTAACAAGTATCATTTTGTGAGTGAAGTATTCCTTTAACTTTTTTGATTTAATAGCACATAATAAGCATTCTGTGTTTCTCCTATCGCCTCCCTCAGACCCTGACGAACCTCCACGTGACCTTAAAGTAACCGCCACCTCCAACAGCCTTCGCATTGCATGGGGTGCTCCAGCCATTCTCTCTGGACCAACTTCGTATCTTGTGCAGGTCACCTCACTGAGTGTCATTTTTACAAACACACAAATATGAATGTGTCATGACATGTTAGATTTTCTCAGTACAGATTATCTTGGTGAAGGTTTTAACACATGGTGTGGTAAAATGCAAACATTATGAAATTACTCAGACTCTGCTCATTCACATTTAGGTATTAAATCTTTTCATGAACTCCCCTGTCACACCAGGTGGATGGCCCTGGTTTAAACATCTCAACAGTCCGTGCTCCAGGAGAACTGACAACTCTCGTTGTGACTAACTTGACTGCTTTCACTCGTTACTTTGTGACTGTCATTGCCTTCACCGGTCCTTTGGAAAATGCCACCAGTGATGGGAAAGCCATCGGGCCTATTGGATTTCAAACACTGGAGGAGGGTATGTGGAAATTTACATTTTGGCAGTTCCTGTAACAGCTACTACCCACCCGTAAATATCACCAAATATCTTTTTTCTCTCCTGTATCATTTCTACTCTGTCCTCAGAGCCCAAAGACCCTCCCAAGAATGTGATAGTATCAGTTATCCCAGAGGAAGTGAACCGTGTGAAGGTGACTTTCACCCCTCCAGAGGAGCCCAATGGAAACATAACTGCTTACTATGTGTACATCTACGAAAAGGGCCAGCTGGTCAAGAACATCAGCCTTAATATCACCCTACAAGACCAAAACAATCTGACTGCAGTCATAGAGGGCCTGAAGGGAGGACACAGCTACAGCATACAGGTGAAGAACAACACACACGCACACAAACATACACACACACACACACACACACACACAGTACACACCAGAGGTGGGACTGCGTCATTGTTTTGGAGGACAATTAAGTCTTAAGTCTTTGCACTCAAGTCCCAAGTTGAGTTCTTTAGTTTCAAGTCCTAAATTAGTCATAATGAGCGCTTCACCAAATATAATAACACTTTAACAACATTGTAATATATTAACTTTACAAAAATAATGGCTGTTTTTCTGAATGTGTATTTGTTTTATTAAAACAAACTTGTTGGAGGTTGTTCCATATCCACCTGTAATTTTTCAACCTACACCTTTTGCATACTACACTTTTTTGGTAGTTTTTTTTAACTGGTACTCAGTAAGATAATGTTAGTTCTTAATGTTTCTCTCCTGCAAATTGATTGGATGCTGTCAAATTGGTTCAAGTGTATCTGGGGAATTAAGTGAGAAATTGCTGGAAATGAATAATATAAATGTTAGTTGATTCTATGGTACACTTTTAAATAACATACTTTTCAATCTTTGGGCTTGGGGGAAAGATATCAGGTATTTTCAAGTCACAATTCCAGCAATCTGCCTTCAGTCAATGTCGGGTTGTCTGTGAACGTGTTTTGCCCTAGTTTTTGCGGTGTGTCCTACACTGTTGGCACAAGTCAGCCCTTGTCAGCCGTTTTTCATTCAATTTAGCATGTTGAATTGGTGGTTGGCCTTGGCGGAGCCCGTCAGTGAATGAAATCATTCTGATTGTGAGTTCAGCTCAGTGCACAAAAATAGAAGTGATGAAAGCAAGAAAGCAAGTCAAGAGGGTGTGAGATTGAAACAAACTTATTGTGTAAGGTTGTGTTTGTGTTCGCCAGCGCACAGTAAATGTCATTTGTTCTTTCAACATCTGGTTGTGTTGTTAATGTGCTAACTGGCTATGTTGCATCTTGAATCTGTCCTGTCGTCCTCTGGTTTCTCTTTTTGAATGACGCATAGAGAGAACTGCCGCCTGCTCGTTCGGAGAGTTATTTCCTCTCACGGAATTGCAGAACATATGTGCTAGTTAACCATAGGCTGTCGTCTTTGCGGTGTGTTGAAGTGCCACTTTTTGGCTGAGACTCAGGCGATGTGAGGCGACACAACAGTGACCTTTGTTGCCACTAGTTCTTTGATGCTGGAGTGGAGTGTTTGGGCCCTTAAAGTCCAAGTCGAGTTGGAAGTCTTTTTTGATTTTGTCAAGTCAGGTCTAAAGTCATCAAAATTGGGATTCAAGTCTGACTCGAGTCCAGACCTCTGTTACACACACGCACAAACCCCTACAAGTTTGTTCATTGGTGTGTGTTTCCTTTTCTTTAACTCCTGTCTGTGCCTGTCTCTCTTTCTGATTTCTTCTCTCCTTTCTTCTGTTTGTAGATTTCAGCAAAGAACGGGGCTGGGAGGAGCCCACCCAGCCCGCATGTCCAGATAACTACAGGCATCAGAGGTACAAGTCCCTCTTTTTTATGTGTGCTCTGCACCGCTATACAGTGTTTCTCCCTTTCTTGTTGCAGCAGTGCAGCATAGATGTGAGACACAGAACTGTACAGCACAGTATCATCAGTGCAGACCTGCTCTGACACAGCAAATGTAACTCAGCAATTTTCTCAGATGTGTGTTCATGACGCAGAGGTCTGAGCAGTTTGTCATGATTTAGATGTAAATGCATCAGACGAAAACCACATCTTCCCACACACTGTGGTCACACAACAACCTCTGTGTGTTTGTGTGTGTGTGTGTGTGTGTGTGTGTGTGTGTGTGCTCCTCTGTGTTCACACGTGCGTGTTTTGCAGCCCCAGCCAAGCCAACCCAAAGACCCCAGGCAGTGCTGGGCCATGGAGGGGTTGCCATGGTAACCCACAGGAGTATCACCATCCGCATGCCTGCCTGTTTCTATAGTGACGACAATGGACCAATCACAAAAATCCAGGTCATCGTGGCCGAGTCAGGGGGTATGACTCTTCAAAAAAACATTGACAGCCGTCACTTTTAGTTGAATGCACTTGGGTATCGGTCTTGTTTGTGCTTTAAGCCTCAAGTAGAATCTTGCTTTACAGTACGTCACTCTGTCCTAAGCTCACAACAGACAAAATGTATGCAAAAGCCAAAGGGCTTAACGTCAGCACAAATTTGACTCAGTCCCCCTGCGATTCCTTTCCTCTCTAACTAACTTACTCATCCTGTCACAGTGAAAGACGTCCAGAACTTGACCAACTGGAAGAATGCATTTTTTGTTCGTCCTGCCCCTTACCTGACCGACAAGGGGTTCCCCAACCCGCCATGTTCCATGTGGGACGGGACGTTGCGCACAGATGCACACATCAGAAGTGGTCATAGTTCGTCCGGAGGCGGGCGGCCCCTGTTGAAGCACAATCACACTAATGCAACAACGTACGTAATTGGAGGGGACGATGAGTGTCTTAAGGAGAACAACACTGATAGTTTTTGCAACGGTCCTCTGAAGCCAAACACCATCTATGTGTGAGTGCACCACACACTCCACCACACAACACAACACAACTTAAAAATGTTGTGTGTACATTTTTTTGCAATAATTTAATGCTGACACTGGGCTGTTGTTTCATATTTACCAGGTTTAAGTTCAGAGCCACTAACATCAATGACCAATACACAGACTCTGAGTACTCAGAGCACATCAAGACTGCAGGTATTTATATTCATCCCGGTGTTACACTACATTAAAAAATGTTTTGTTGATTTATGTCTGATGTTGTCACCTCTGTCTCTTTTCACTCTCTCTGTAGTGGACGGGCTGTTAACCAGAGATGAACAGATCATTCTGGGCGTTCTGCTCTCCTTCTTCTTGGCAGTGTTGCTCATCATTATCATCTGTGGCTCCATCAAGTAAGATGGCAACAAGCATTTAATCATTTGCCAGCATTCATATATTAAAGGTATACTGGGCAGGATTGTCAGTTATTGTTTGCAGACACACTCGTCAGCAAAAGTAAAAGTAAAAGCAAACCCCAGATTCACTCTCGTTTGGCATTTTTCACGGCTGTGTCTCTTGGATGTCTGCTGTTTACAGTCTGACAGCTGGTGGCTATCTTTTTATAAACCTCCGAGCTCACCTGAGCGCTGTGGGGGTGCACGCCCATAAACGTCCCGAGCACAGAAAATAAAAAAGTACAGGCAAAGTGCAGATTCCCTGCAGAAAAATACACCACTACACACTTCCAGTGGGTCATAAGTCGTGATTTAAAGGGATAACTTCAGTATGAGTCTATACATTGTTTTTTAGGAAAATCCTGCATAGTATACCTTTTACCAAAATACTGCATTGATTGCAATTTAGTATTAGTGCACAAAAAACTGTGTGTAAAGTCTTGTATAAATATGGGTAATTTTGCTTTGCATAATGTCCAGTAAATCAGTTTATTTTTTTATTATGTTTTTACAAAACGAAAAAAAGCAGATACAGTAAAACCAATTACAACAGGCAGGGACATCATAGGTAAAGGGGTAAATTTTTAACATCTTGTAAAAAAGGAAATGAGAAGAAACAAGGTTACACTGTACTGTAGGATCCCTTATGTCCATGATTGTCCTTGGAGATCCCTGACTTTGATTCCTGGAAATCCAGGGTATTTTTAAGGAGGGAGAAATCTTCCTCTCATTCATGAGCTATTGTCCATCATGTATGTCTTAATACCAAGGGGAATAAAACAAATTTCACCAAACAAAACAAATATATAATTAAAAGATCACTTCAAAGTCAAATAAGATTTCAATTTTTCCAATATTTTTCACATTTTTTAGTAGCATGTCTCAGAAAAAGTCAGTTGTTCCATAACATAAATTTTCTTAACTATTTCTATCCATTCAGAGGTTGCTGGAGACTCTTTACTCAGCCAGTTCCTGGTTGTTGTTTTTTACAACCTGCTAGTAGTATTTGTAATAAATATATGTCCTTCTTTGTCAGCCCAGTTTCCTTTTTTTAGTTATTTTTAATTCTGTATTTGTTTTATTGACCATTTTATTTGATTGCCATATCAGGATCCATCAGCGCAAGAAGGAGGGCGGGACTTATTCACCCAGAGAGGCAGAGATCATAGAGACCAAGTGTAAACTGGATCAGCTGATCGCTGTGGCAGATCTGGAGCTCAAACAAGAAAAACTGAACCGGTTAGTGTGTTTAGTTTTAATCTAAAAGCGTCACTTTGCCAGATATAACACACACATTTTTGGCAGCTTAAACGGGTTGCACACTACATGAGTTCAGTCTTGATTTAGCTGCTCCAGACAAGATTTTAAATCTAAGTCAAAGAGACAAAAATCTCTTTGCTGCAGCCAAGTTGATGTGCGCTCCTGTCAGCACAAAATCTTCCAGTGTTGTAGAGTTTGGGCAGAAAATAGAAGCAGCAGCTCTATAAAACAACACAGCATCACTGGGGCTTTATAGTTTTACCTTCAGTTCTCTGCAGAACAGACAAGTCATCTTGTCTGCATCTCTCCAACCACACTCTCTTACAAATTCACCGTTAAGCCCTTCTGCTTTTTTTCATCTTTGGCACAAACAAGTGCACAGACAATAAGTGCTGCGAGATGGTGAGAAATAAAGTCAAATTCAGTGATAGTTTAGGTGTATCAAGGTCAACGATGGCTAAGATGAGGTGAGAAACGGCGGGATAAAAAAGCTTTCAACAAGACTAGTACAAAAATTTTACTTTAGATATTTTTATTCACCAATATAGTTAGACGTCAGCACTGGAACAACCAATAGGCTTTCCGAACACCTTTTTTCCCCCCACATAATGACAGAACACAAAAAGAAACCAAAAATAGAGGGGTTCATGTAGGTGTACAGTGAGGCTTGTCTTTGAGAGAAACTCAATGAGCAATAACATAAAAAACATGAAACCCATTTGAGGGAAGATAGATAAATAAATCTGCTTCCACTTGGCAGATTCCTGTCCCTTATAACTTATGTGTAAAAGTAATATCAGCGTCCTACATGAGCAAATATTTGCCTGCCTTATTAAAAGTCCAATATGACATTTTTTTTCGTATGCTGTGACTCTTCTTAGTCCTGATAAAGGAGGCAGTGTCACACACTTTTCAGGCTTCCTACACAGTATAAAAAAGTATGGAATTTAATTTTAGTAATTTACAGGTCTTGATAATCATGGAAAAAAAGAAAAGAGAGCATTTGATGAGAGAAATATTTGTTTTTCCAGACTGTTGCCCTTATAAAATATAAAATTCTTAATTTCTATAAAATAAATTGATTACACAAGCATTTTTTCATGGCATGTGGAGCAGGCAGCCAAAACGTTTACCACTGTGTGAGAGAGTGCAGGCCAGAGCAAGCTTGATTTCATCGAAAGCAAGGCAAGAAATATGGCATGTAAATGAACACACATTCCTACGAATAGCTGCCTCTACACCTGCACGTCACAGCCTGCAAAACGGCTCTTACCCGGGTTCCTTATAACTCAACCAAATCTGGAAGCCAAATTAGTTTGAAAGAAAGAGTGGCAATAACTTTGAATTGGATGTAAACATAGCATCACAAATAACCAAATATGAAGTTTGTCTGAACATTTCTGAGTTATGTGGTGATGTAGTTATCAGAAAAGTAAAGTGGCTGTCTTTTCTGCATAAGGAAACCATAAGTTTATGGCTGCGTTCATTGCTATTTCAGTGGATACAGTGAATAATCAAGCACAGATGCTGTGTAAATTAAATTATCTAACACATTTTTGCTTCATATTAATAGAAGAGACAAAAAATGGGGAAAAATGGGGGGAACAATAATATATTCTTTTTTATTCAATATGTTAAAGCTACAGATGGTAACTTTTGTGAATAACCTTTTATCCTATTTGCTGAAACTGTCACTATATTCTGAAAAAAGTACAAGAGACAGAAAGTCTGTGAAAACAGGCTGTGAAAAAATTGGCATTTGCTAGAATCAGACTGCAGCGTGGCAGGAACAACCATTGAGAGCTGAGTCTCTAACACAGTTGTCAATCACTCTGTGAATGGTGGTCAAACTGTCAAACCTGGCAGCACCAATCAAATATAAATCAAGACTCTGTTACTGCATCGCCTATTTCTCACCTCAAATGCTTTCAGAAACATACTTTAGTGTACTGTTCAGCTGTGTAATGAGAAAGTTTGTGACCCAGCTGCCATGTTGGAGACAGTTACAGTAAGTACCAAGCACCGCCCACTAGCTGAACCACTTTTGTCATTTTACTCAGCTACTTGGCTCTGATTGGTTGTGTTTGTTCACATTTAGTAAGGCAGTTTTGACTTTTTTTTTCAGAGATTATCCATCTCAGTCAGTACTGTGTGAAAAAATATATTCTTATTGAACTTACCAGCTGTAGCTTTAAGGGAAAAAATACAAGTATGAATAGCACTGGTTAGTTTATTTCCTCTGTGGACAGGCAAGACTAACAGTATAACGTTTTTCAGCTGTTTGCGTAGGTAACATGAATTGAATGGCTACAATGAGTCTTTGTTCTCTAATGTCAAACACAGTCTGAAAAATTTACAGAGAAGTCTGGAAAAGTATGGAATTTTATAATGGAAAATGAGTAGGAAGCCTGACTTTTAAAAGCAAAGATTGTACATTTCTTTTTTTACATAATTCAAGTTTTCATTGGTTTTAAAGGCTCAGTACATGGCATACATATATTGTTTTCCAGGCATACAAGAATGCTTAATTTTTATAATATGGAAGTGGACTCCAGTACATAAAGAAAAATCAACAGTAAGTCTAGAAGGAGAGAGAAGAATACAAACTAACAAACAAAAACATGTCACACATACGTCCTCATACATCACTCTATGGGGTTGCACAATCACATAGAGAATTCGTAATTATGTAGGCTTATCTTCCATTTTGATATGAGTCCATAACCAGTCCCAAGGAGATACATATTCTACTGAGCATTGCATTAACCCATTCTTTGTTTGTTGTCTTCCAGTGTCTTAGAATAACTCCACAGACAGTTATCAGACCTACAATAATAACAGAAAATGCACACTTGGATACATTTGGCATTTGCGATCATTCCCCAGTAAACACAACTTTGAATTTAATGGGATTTCTGAACCAAACCAGCAACTTAATATTTCTAATGAGGCTGTACATTTTTAAGTGTTGCATGTTATGGTCATTCCAAGGAGCTAAGCCACTCCAGCGGCGTCATTAGCACAGTGTGTCTCTGCTTTGTTGGAGCTGAGCTCTTTCTAAACACCACCTTTCTAAGCTCAGTTTATATCATAATAACATACTTTTTCTTGTTACTTGTCAAATGAATGGCATAAATAACTCTCTCTGACACTTGCATTGACTCGCTTTGGCTTTTATTTTCTCTCACTGAGCACTTTTCTCTCACCAGATATTCTTCCTTCTTCTTTAGGCGGAAAGAGATTTATGTGATCCAGTAAGTCTTTTGACCTGTGTGTGCTTCATGTTGGTGTGTATGCTTTGTTTGCATGTTGTGCTCCACCTTCTATCCAGCACTAGTCTGTGTGTCAGTCATGTTACATGTTTAAATCATCTATCTTTGTTGCTTATTAAACATTTGGTGGTGGTCAATCAGTGGAGCGAGTCACTGCCATCAGCATTTCAGCCTTTTCCTCCATCACTGGCAGGGATTTCAGAGCTGCTCCGACACTCATCTGCTTGAGACCCCTTTAATTTGTTTACCCACTTGCTATCTCAAAATTGCTTGGAAGCCGTAGCGGCCTTAGAGGGCACAAGTGGCTACAAGCCTTCAGTAATGCAAAGAAACATCAGCCACAGGGGGAATAAGCACATGCTTCATTCAAGTTGAACTGCATCATGTTCACATATTTATTTAGAGCGAAACATCAGAGTCAGTGTTTAATCGAAGTGGATGTGATGAGACCTCCTTTGCTTAAACATACAAAGCCTTGTACTCACTGCAGTGAGGATAAGTTTAGCTATCATGGGCAGAAATACCGCAGTGTAAGTTGTGATTGTTATTATTATTAATTGGTTTATTTTGGATGATGTTTGCTCTCTATTTTTGTCCAGGCTGCTCAGCTACAGGAAGTCACTCAAGTAAGTCACCCTGCATAAATAATGCAGATAATAGAGCAGCATGTTCTGTATGGCTCAGTATTAAGTATCAGTGTGCTGTTATCCTAGAATAAACTTACAGAAAATAGCATGTTGTTGTAGAGTTTTTGTACATCTCTCTCTGCTCCTCGCATCCAGTGTATTTATCTTCTTACCTCTTTGCCAGGCCTGTCAACAAGAAGTCTTTCCTGCAGCACGTAGAGGATCTGTGTGCCAATGACAATGCCAAGTTTCAAGAGGAGTTTGCTGTAAGTGTTTCCCTACAACCTGGACCTGTGCTTATTAAACTTACAGTGTAGAAATATATAAATTGCGATGAAATGATAGAAAATCACCTGGAATTGACCACAAAATGTAGCATAGAGGAAATTGCTGCTGTTGGAAGGTGCGTCATAGAAAACAGATCAGAGGAAGAATGCAGTGCAGACAGTGAAGATGTATGGAAAGTGATTGCAAACTCCTCTCACAAATGCAAAAAAAAGAGGTATAACATCCTGTAAAATAAGCATTTGAAGATAGAATCTTACAAGAGCTGCACATAGTTAGCTAAAATGACCCTCCTCTAAATAATACATATTGCTTTTTACATTAGTATTCATGACCGATGCTTGCATGCTCGCCTTTGTCTCTGTACTGCAGCCATCCAAAACCCTAACAGGATTTATTATAAACTCAGAGACTCCTGGCGGTCTTCTAAATTTAACAGTATGTTTAAAGTCACAAAAAATATAGTAAATAACATTGAAATAGGTGGAAAAGAGATATCTGACTTTTATGTTTCACAGTTAACCCCCAAATCAAAAATACATATGTTCCCTCTTACCTGTGGTGCTATTTATCAATCTACATTGTTTTGGTGTGAGCTGCAGAGAGTTGGAGATATCAGCAGTAGAGATGTCTGCCTTCACTTGAATATAATGGAACTAGATGGGACACGGTTTGTGGTGCTCAATGTGCCAAAAAATACATTTGAAAAACTCAGCAGCAATGTCTCTTTGCAGAAATCATGACGTGGTTCCTCAAGATCAGTGGTTTTCAACCTTTTTTGTGTCAAGGACCCCTCAATGTATACACACAAGATCAGAGACCCCCATTAGATAAGATTTTGCTTTAGGGACCTTCATCTGAAAAGATGTTGGTTGTTAGAGATGACTGTGACCTCCAGTATACACTGAGGCTGTTTGCAGCCGAGTGTGAAGCGGTCGGGATGAGAGTCAGCACCTCCAAATCAGAGGCCATAGTTCTCTGCCGGAAACCGATGGATTGCCCCCTCCGGGTTGTGAGAAAGTTACTGCCTCAAGCAGGGGAGTTCAAGTATCTCAGGGTCTTGTTCGTGAGGGTATAACAGAGCACTAGATGGTTCGGCAGTTCGGTGTGGCGTCTGCAGTGATGCGGGCGCTGTGCCGGACCATTGTGATGAAGGGGGAGCTGAGCCAGAAGGCAAAGCTTTTAATTTACTGGTCCATCTACATCCCAACCCTCGCCTATGGTCATGTGCTCTGGGTAGTGACTGAAAGAATGAGATTGCGGATACAAGTAGCCAAAATGAGTTTCTTCCGTGGGGTGGCTGGGCTCAGCCTTAGAGATAGGGTAAGGAGCTCGGACATCTAGAGGGAGCTTGGAGTAGAGTTGCTGCTTCTTTGCTTCGAAAGGGGGCAGGTGAGATAGTTCAGGCATCTTATCAGGATGCCTCCTGTAAGCCTCCTGTTAGAGGTGTTCTGGGCACGTCCTACTGGTAGGAGGCCCTGGGGTAGACCTAGAATGCACTGGAGGTATTACATATCTCGTATGGCCTGGGAACGCCTTGGGGTCCCCCAGGAGGAGCTGGAAAACGTTGCTGGAGAGAGGGAAATCTGGGGTGCTTTGCTTGGCCTTCTGCCCTGCAACCTGGTCCCAGATAAGTGGATGGATGGATGGATGGATGGACTGACTGCTTAAGATAATCCACAGACCTTGTTGTGAGCAGTTTCATGTTGGAACTACTCTCTCTCTACCGAACTACACCCGCCAACTGTATCACTGCACACAGGGACACATGCATCTACTGCTAGTTCACCTCGCACCACTGAGCTAGCTAATGGTAAAGCTCAGCTAAGGAGGATGTCATTAATGTTTACATCTTGCGTAGTCACTAGCACGAGCCTCTTGTCCATGAGTAGATGCACACTTCCTTCTGGGCGGTGATACGGTTGTTGGGTGTAGTTCAGTAGAAAGAAAATCGTTCCACATGAAACTGCTCACAACAAGGTCTGTGGATTATCTTGAGTAACATGACTGAGGTCATGATTTCTGGAAAGAGACCTTGCGGTTGACGATTTCAAATTTATGTTTTGGGACTTTGAGCACCACAAGCCAAGTGCCATTTGGTTCCATTATATTCAAGAGAAAGCAGACATTTTTACGGCTGATATCTCTGACACTCAACAACTCGCACTAAAACAATCTAGATAATAAATAGCACCACAGGTAAGAGCAAAACTACATATTTTCAATCTAGGGGTGAACTGTCCCTTTAAGTCCAAAATTTGACTTACATCTGTTCTAAAAATAGAGACCCTGAACTTTAACCTCATGTAGCCTATGTATGTTTTGAGAATACTGATGTGTCACCACCCCAGGAGCTTCCAAAACTGCTCCAGGACCTGGCCACCACAGATGCTGACCTGCCCTGGAACAAATCCAAAAACCGCTTCCCCAACATCAAACCTTGTAAGTGGTCAGACTGATTATTAGCTTTCCAGAGCTATAATACTACAGTATAGCAAAATTATGTGTGCTAGCTCTAACACTGATTTCACTACTTCTTACAAAGCTGCATTTTACATGTTTCTACCCCTCTCTTCTCACTTCACTGTGTCTAGACAATAACAACCGGGTGAAACTGCTGTCAGAACCTGGCACTGCAGGCTCCGACTACATCAATGCCAGCTTTGTCTCAGTGAGTACAAGCTATCAGCTGCTAAAAGCCCAGTGGTTAACCTGGAGGGTCGCTTCCACTTTCATAATCAGGTTATGAAAGTAGTTACGCAGGCATGAGACACATTGGTTGCAATTAGAGGAGATATTCCCGGTCCCATTCTGATCCTGGACAATAGATCGATAACAACCTGTTCAAGTATATTCATTTGTGAGTGAATAATGTTAATTTTATGATTTAAGTAGGTCTGTGTGTTGCTGCAGTGATTTTTGAGCTGGTAAATGTAAACCTCTGTCTCTCTGCTCTGTTCTCTAGGGCTATCTTTGTCCCAATGAGTTCATCGCCACCCAGGGTCCTCTGCCTGGCACAGTGGCTGACTTTTGGAGGATGATCTGGGAAACGGGAACCCGCACCATCGCCATGCTCACGCAATGTTACGAGAAAGGCAGAGTGCGTCATGAGAGATTTGCCACTGTTATGAAATAGCATTCAGAGGACAGGCGGGGCTTCGTTTGGGCTCCTTGACAGCCCTGTCACCAGGAGTGTTGTATCTGCTGCGAAGATCTGATGTGTGTGTGTGTGTGTGTGTGGGTCTGTGTCTGTCTGTGTGTGCGTGCGTGTGTTTGTTTGACATTTCAGATTCGGTGTCACAAGTACTGGCCAGAGGACAACAAGCCAATGTCAGTGTTTAGTGACATTCTCATCTCAAAAGTGTCAGAGGAAGTCCTTCCTGATTGGACTATCAGAACCCTAAAAGTAGAAAAGGTAACTAAGCTAACAGCTCCTCACACGCACACACACAAACACACACAGTTGTGTTTCTATCACATTAGTGGACATTGCACTGACTTACATTCATTTCCTGGTGACTTATCCTTGTCCTCACACTAACCTTGAACCAAGTCTCCATCCTAAGATTCAGTGATTTTTGTCAAAAGGACTGGAGTTTGTCCCCAATAGGAAGACGAGTCCCCACAATGCTACTGTGTTAACAGACTTATGTCCCTACAAGAAAGTAGGATGCTTTATTTCTTTGTAAAACTACACAAGGCAAATTCACACAAGGCAGTTGAAATGTAGCTTTTACCAAATCCATTTTATACACATGCATTTTCAGAGCGGTAGCGCAGGGTCTTGCTCAAGGATGCTTCAGCTGTGCCCAGCAGGCAATCTGGCATTTCTCCAGCTGGTAGTCCACACTAATGTCTGTACAGGGACTTGAACAGGCGGCACTCTGGTCCCACACAACATGAGTAAAACTGTAAAACGTTCACAATATCTGTACTCAGACTGAGTTAAAACCCGGGGTTGATTTGAAGTTGCAATATTTATCATTTATTAGAAAACTATTTATGGAACAGAAAGTCAAATGTGACCTTAAGATAATTTTCGATCACAGGAGTAACAGAACTGTTTAAGAGTACAGATATTGATGCATTTTATTCAGATGATACTTGTACTCGTGACATGTACGCTATCTGTACTTGTTTCATCCCAGTGCCCGGTTCAACCCTACTAATTTGCCACATTTCCATCTAACAGAACTAAATCAAATTAAATATATGAGTAAATGCAGGTGCCCTTTGTCGTGTAAGTAATGCGCTAACACAGTGATTCCCAACTGGTGGGTCACGGTCCAAAAGTGGGTCTCGGGTCCATTCTGAATGGTCCGCAAGTGACTCGTGAACGTGTCAACTTTGTAAAAAAATACACTTTATATTGAAGTGAATTTCTGGTACAGAGCTTTTAATTTGAAGTGCTGTGGAGTGAGCAACTTAAGGACAGCTACTTGACAGACAGAAAACTAGCTCAACAACATGGCCAAAGGCAACTTAAACCAATGACTTTGGATAAATATGGAGCCCACTGTGCTAACAGATGTTCTACAGGCAAAACACTTAAGGGAACAGTTCAGCATTTTTGGAAATTCACTTATACGCTCTCATATTGACAGATGAGAAGATTGACTCCACTCTTCTGCGTGTTTGTCAAGTATGAAGTTGTTTACAGTCTTTATGCTAAGCTAAGCTAACAGTCTTCTGGCTCCTGCTTCATATTTGAGTGTTGTTGATCTTCTCATCTAACTCATCGCAAGCAAATTTCCCAAAATGTTGATCTAATAACTGTTGCGTGGTGAGTTAATTTGATCCACATCTGGCAAATGTTAAACATATTGCTGAGCACATTTCATCTGTATTTATATTTATTTAGCTTGTTGTCTTTTTTCTCGTTTAAATCCCTTTGTGCAGCACGGGCACTATATTCTGGTTCGCCACTTCAACTACACATCGTGGCCCGAGCACGGAGTCCCAGAGTCCTGCAGCACTCTCATCAAGTTTGTCAAAGCTGTCCGAGCTCACAGGCACGACAACACCACTATAGTGGTCCACTGCAGGTACTGTGGCACGTCAAGGTCTTTAAAAGTAAAGTGCATTAAATGCATTGTTCTATTTGTGGTGACTGAATGGGGCTTCGTCAACATCTGTCATTGTTCCTCAGTGCTGGTGTGGGCAGAACAGGTGTGTTCATCGCTCTCGACCACCTCATTCAGCACGTCAGAGATCACGACTTTGTGGATATTTATGGCCTGGTGGCTGAACTCCGCAGCGAGAGGATGTGCATGGTACAGAACCTGGTGAGTTCACATGAAGTACAATAGTGTATTTCATCCCTGTGGTTAAATTTCCCAGCCCGTAGAGAATAAACAAAAGACAAAAAAGAGGGGTATTGTACAGTATGTTGTCTTAAGTTGTTCCAGTACACTTAAGAATCATCAAAGACTCACAAATGGTGGTGTAGTTGTCCTACTTTTTAACTTCATGTCCTGCTGAGATCCCGTCCCCACGAGGAAACATTTGGTAAATTCTTGTTTTGACAAAGGGAATGATCTGGCAGTGGATTAAAGGCATATGCTGAGCAGGATTCCCCCTCTTGAAACAGCATGAACCTATCCTAAAATTACCCCAGTCATTACTTACGGAGCAGTGGTGTGTGTCTCAGTGTCTGCAGGGAGCCTCTGCTTAGTGCCTGAGCTTCTCCCCAGTATTATGGTTTTATTATTTCTAGATGCTCTGTACGATTCTTTTGGCAGTGAAATATGAGCCTGCAGTGTCTGCAGCTACAAGAGCTGCTTGATTCTTTGAGACGGTACTGTTCAGTGCGCCAGATAGCTGGCTATTAGTGTGGTAGTCCACTTTTATCCAAAATAGAGCCTCAGCTTTAAGAGGCTATCATTTAGATCAGTTATTTTATAAACTCACAGATGTCATTGCTCAGATATTGGAGCACGTTGCAGAAGGTTTTTAACCAGCCCACATTTTAATGCTATTTGCTAGAATACTTCTGAGTGGTAAAAAAGCTAATGTTAAATTTATTATATTAGAGGTTATTCATATATCCAGTTGCCTAATGTAATTTTCATAATTGCGCTCCTACTGACAGCGAATGCCAATTATGACGAGCATTTTAGGTATGTTCACTTGTGTTTTAACTATTTCCCAGATAATTGAATTGAATTAGAGATATATTAAAATCTATCCAGTTCTCTGACTGCTCCTGTTGCTTGTCATATGAATGTAAAAGTTGTGTCTCACCATCTTCAGAACACAGAAAATAAACAGATATGGATCAATCAATACTGGATAAAACTATGAAGACGCAGATTGTACAAACACATATGTTTGGTTTCAATTCAGTTTAGAAGGTGCAATATGTCACAGCATAGGTGGTTTTTATTGGACTTTGATAGTTTGTAACCCACAGAAACATGTAAAGTCATTGCCTCAAAAATACAAAATGATTTGCAAATACGCAGATCTTAGTCTGTAACTATGTTTTTTAATCTTACCTAAAAATGTAATAGGTTTTACAAATGTAAATACATGGTCGTTTCACCACAACAAATACATGTAAAATCATATTTAGGCATTTGTAGATCCATTGGTTCATGTGAAGCAGGTTTTGCATTATTTGGACCTGCACTTGTATAGCGCCTTTCTCACCACTCAAAGTGCTTTTGACACTATGAGTCACATTCACCCATTCACACACACATTCACACTCTGGTGGCCGAGGCTACTGTACAAGGTGCCATCTCGAACCGTTGATCTTCCGATTAGTGGACGAGCCACAGCTGTGGCTAAATGTGGATCACTTCTTGCACCTTATCCTCATACAACAATACGCACCTAACGTAGAGTCACATGAGTTAGGTTTAGGAACAGAAACATGTGATGACTTACCTTAAAATAAAATTCACTGGGTTTTACATGGTCCTGAACACCGACTCCCATCAGCTCACTGGTCACTTGTTCCGAGTCTTCCCTATTATGTGGGCTATACACGAATTACTGCCTCATGATTACATGGGGCTTATATGAATTGTGGTGCATTGCTTTTCGTAGGTATACTAACAAACAGTGCAGGAGAACATCCTGCTATTAAAGTCCAATAAAAACTTCCATGGTACTAGTAAAATAATATGATGTTAGGTCAAGGGGATTTATTTTAGTCTTATGGCTAAACCAGCTACAAACAGGGTATACATATAATAAATACCTTGGTTGCCAACATGAGAAAGATTGCAGATCTAATGCAGAACTAACTTTCCACCATAGCTGTACTCATTCCCCAAAGTGTCACACACTTGACTGCGTGGTTGGGCCAGTTCAATTGGATCTGCTCAGGTCCTCCTCTAAACAGCCGTGCACTGAGCTCAGTTGGTTTCAGTTCGTTAAGGTTAACAAATAGACTCAGGTAGAAACCAAAGAGAAATCCCTCAGGGATGAAGGTTATCACTGACTGTCCATCACCGTCCCAATGAAAGAGTTGCTCTGTGCATATATCTGAAGCCACTCTTAAGCTGCGCTATCTCTGCAGTCAGCCAGAGAGGCACACTAATGAGCATGCTCTATGGGCCAGAAAAGCCTGAGGAAGCCTGAAAACACTGTTTCAGCATATTTGCCCTTGAGCAACTTTTATTTGAATGAATGGGAAGCTGTCTTAAAACGTGGTATCCAGATTTCTTACTGTCATACATCTATGGACGTGGCAGCTGCTGCACTAAAGGCTAAATTCTGTGTTTTTCAACCTAGACTCTATGTTTTTATGTCTAAGTGATGAAGTGGAACAAGTTTTTGAATTTGGTTTAGTATTGAGCGAGACCACTGCGGACAGCAGTGACCAAACAGGCTGTGGGCATGTTCACACTGTCAATTTACATCCACTGAAAGTGCTTGTTTTTGCCATGGCAAGGCTCAGATTATTTTAAGTGTCTGACAACACTGTGGAAATGATCTTAATACAGGTAGACCTTTTGTTAAAGCGAAAGACTCCATTAAATGAAGAGTAGCTTTACCATCCGATAACTCTCTTCACACACCAGTGGACAGAAACCAAATAAAACTCACAACAACTTTCTTGGTTCAACTTTCTCCTGTTCCAGCATTGAAATAAATACTTAATTCACCCAGTTAGACTTGAAAATATGCTGGCTCTACACACTCTAAAGTTACTGTTTATTTGGAGTCTGGTGGCTTTGGAAATGGCAATTTTAGGGCTGTTTCTGGTCGAACGAAAAGCATCTTATGCTGTAACAAAGAGGTCTATTACTGTAGGGATCCTTTCCATAATGTTGCCAGACACTTAAAATAATAATAAAGCCTGACAATGACAGAACTTTTACTGGTGCAAACATGCCCTGAGTGGTAACACTGCAGCCTGTTTTGCTGCTGCAGGCTGCAACGCTCTTGCCCAGTACTGGACCATGGTTGTTCTCATTAGTCACAAAAAAAAATTGGGAAAACAAGCGGTCCAAGATGGAAAATACCAAACTTATCCTTTAGGAGACAAAATCATTCCCAGTGTCACTGTTTAGTCTGGGTTTGAGTCTTCAAATGTGTTCTGTTGTCTGTCTTCTGTTTAAACAATTTGGAAATAAATCTGCAAATCAGCTCACAGATTGGTTTGTGTCCTAAAAGAGAGAATCAAGTGACATAATCTTGATTCGCATTTAAGCCATCTGCAATCCAAACTTCATCTGCTTTGGAATTTTGTGGGTTTTTTTTCCCTTTATCAGACAGGAGACAGTAGAAAGCTAACAGGTCTCCCGCTGGATTTAAATCAGGGTTGTTGTAATTAAATGATCGGCATCAGCCACCAGGACACCCTGACTTAATGCTACACCATATAAATTAATACGGACATCTGCTCAGTATCTGTCAATGTGTGTGTGTGTGTGTGTGTGTGTGTGTGTGTGTGTGTGTGTCAGGCCCAGTACATCTTCCTGCACCAAAGTACGCTGGAACTTCTAAACAATAAAGGCAACAGCCAATCCATCTGGTTTGTCAGCTATTCTGCTCTGGAGAAGATGGACTCCCTGGACGCCATGGAAGGTAAACAGCAACACACCTATACGCAGTCAAATACACACACACACACTCCCCACAGCATGGTGCTCACTCCACACATTTGTACTGGTCCTCAGGTGATGTTGAGCTGGAATGGGAAGAGACCACTATGTAAAGACTAACTGAGGGACACCTTTGCCCCAGGGGTGAGTGACGCTTGTATGTTTCGAGGTCATTGGGACGTGACCTCTGCACAGACTCTGGACTGGACCAGTTAGAGGGAGGAGGAGGAGAAACAGGAAGCAGACAGCACAGTTTAAACTGAACGATCTGTCAGTCGACTAAGACTTTGTTGCTCCACTTCAACTCACTTCTCGGCGCAGTCCTCCCTTTAATGAACCTCTTGTCCAGTTGCTTTTAAAGAGAGCGAGAGAAGCAAAAGGGAGACAAAGAATGTCAGAATTGGCGGGGAGAACAGAGCGAAGCGGTGAGGTGACTGTGAGAGCTCTATCACGCCTGTAAGCCTACAGGTACTTTGCACAAATTGATTTCACTGCGTATTGTAATTATTGTATTATGTTGATATCATCTATGTTTTTGTAAGATAATTTATTCAGCCAAAATGGTGTTTTTTTTTCAATCTCTTTGTAATTCTGACTTTGTCAAAGTGTTTGTCATCATTTCTGTTTTGTTTATCCTTTCTCAAGAGTGATTTGCAAAAATAAAAGCATCTTGTATTTTTTCCAGCTGTGACATTTAGCACTAAAACACTTGAGAACTTCCCCGTGAGACTCTCTGGCATCAAACAGAGCTGTGTCAGTGTAAAATGAAATTACAAGTTACCAACTTGCTTGTCTTATTGCTCAGAGGACAGACTCGGCACCCATGGAAAATTAGCTACTTTAAATCGGACGCAGTCTCACTATAACACGCAACTTGACATTCCACAAGTACAAGTCAGATTCAATATTGCTTTCTCATCCATTAATGAATGAGTTCAGACCCGCTGTGCTGGAGACTGATTTCCCATAAGCTCCTTCATTCCACCGTCCTCCCCTGCACACCTGGAGCACATTCATTCATTAGAGAGGCCAGGAGTGCTGCAGACGCAGACACCGAGGAGACGATTGCGGCGTCGACGCACGCAGAGGACAGACAGTCGGAGGCCGAGAGTAAAAACTACTTTATTCTTTCATTCTCTTCGAACAGAAAAAATTAGAAATATTCCATTAGTAAACATGTTGATCTTTAAGAAATCTCCCTTTTAGAAATATTGTGAGGGTGCAAAGATTAATGACAGTGCTCCACAGTGAGGATGCAGATTGGTGCGTCTCCATGACAACCACAGAGAGGGGGTCGGGCAGAAGGGAGGGAGGAAGTAGAGAGAGGGGAGAAAATGACATCAATCAACCCAACATGCCCTGACAATAATGATACAAACATAGAATCAAACTCCCCCCCGCCCCGTGTACTGTAAATGAAAAAAACAAAAAACAATAAAAACAAAACGATATCATGCTGTATAATACAAGTCAGTCAGAGTTTACAGTAAACAAAGTGGGGTTTGCTGACTTGAGAAATCAAGCAGTTTCTAAGGTGAATGTAAGCTGGATGTGCTGTTGCTTTGGCAGCTGTGTGCATGTTTGTGTACGTCAGTGTGTGGTTGTGTATGCGCCTGTGTATGTTTGTGTTTATATGTTGTCTGTGTGTGTGTGTGTGTGTGTGTGCGCGCGCATGCGTGCATGACCTGTGATTTACTGCACATATTCACCAATACAGCATAGCCCTTTACACACCCTTAACAGGTGACACAGCCATCTCTTAATAATCCTATAATAATATGACACGATATAATTTCATGATGAATGTAGATCTGTATTAATATCAGTGTGTGTTACCATGGTAACTGGAGTGTATTCTATAAAAGCTGCCTGTTTCCTGTCTCTCTTAGCAGTAGGATTTAGGACACCCCCTGATATTAAATGTGAATAATAATAATAATAATAGCTATAATAACTATAATATTCCTTTTTTTTTAAACTAGATTCTTCTCTGTACAAATACATACGTAGATACACACACTGGGCAAAGCAATCACTTTTTCAGAATAAATCTATATTATCTATTTACAATATATCCAATATATTCTGTGGTGCAAAAGGTACAAGACGTGTTCGGTGTGTCTCAGTTGGATGATTTGCTGTACAAACTGGCTCAAGCTCGAACCATCGACACTGGACAAACAACCTGACGATGAAGTCAATAATTATTCCATGGACATCTTCAGTTTTCCCCCTGATTAACATTTAGTATAGGAATGCATCTCTGCTTATATAACATTTTTCAGTGTGCAAGGAAAAATATAATTCGTGAGAAGGGAGTGATGTTTTCTGTGAGGTGACCTTGGTCTACCCTGTGTGGAGCAATTTATATTCATTTTTTAAATCTAAAGCTACAAGTTTCCCGGGCACAGATATTGCCTAGATCCAAAGGTAACAACAATATTCACACTAGGTAACCCATTAGGAGTAAATGTACAGGAGGATAAAGGCTTCATGTGGCTGCTTTAGCCTTGTTTTGGATCGATTACCAGCCCTACTCCCTGCTGCCCATGAGTAAGCAGACTGAACACACAGCACACAAGCCATTTGTCTCAGTCCGACTCAGATATTACATGTTGCAGTGCAGCGAATCCTTTCCTGAGCTCTGCGAGAGCAAAACGCCACAGAATCAGGGCAGTCACACGCTACTGTGAAGATGTCTGCTCACACAAGTTTAGCAAAACACACAACGAAGAAGCACAGGAAAATATGATTGTCGTCAGAATGTGGTTTAAGGTTAATTAAGTGAGTAACAGCATCCTTGCTTACTGTGCTACACTGCACATGACAGGGTAGAGATGCTCGAGCCTTTTACCTTACCTTATTATCTGTTCCCTAGAAAATGAATGAAACAAATAAGCTGGTGCTCTTGTTTCTTCACATTATGCAGAAAATAAGATTGCAGTGAGGAGAAGCTAGATTAGCTCTGCTGAAATGATTCCTCAGTGAGTGCGGTGTATCTAATACTGAAAACCCGGACTGAACAAAGAGGTGCGAACTTAACATCGATGTCCTGAAAGAGAACAAAACAAAAGAAGAGTTTTGTCCTTCATATTTAAAGCGATCATTTATCCTTTTAGGGCTGCCAGAGATTGCTTTTCTGACGCCGCCCCTCAGTTTCACAGTTATAGCTCACAGACACATTTGTTGGACAGGTGACATTTAAAAATGCAAAGTCACAAGATCTCTTAAAGAGTGTGAAATCTAGACAGACAACACCATCAGCTACCGGGTGAATTGTTGGAGACAAAAGAAAGAGGAAAAGTTGTCTTTCGGAAATGGCATCAAAAAACCACGTTCAAAAACAACACCACTCAGTCAAGACTATGAATAGACTCCTGTTGGTTTCCTTTTCCTTCGTCGCTTTATTCGTCTCGTACAGTATATTCCTCACTTCTCTTTTTTAGCAATGCTTTAATCTTACCATTCAAAGTGAGTCGACGAGTGCTCCAGCATGTGTGTGTCGCTGTGTGTGAGTGTGAGGCTCATGTCGGGCCCCGAGGGTTCGTAGAGTAGCCAATGACTCAGACGATGCTGCGGGAGCCACTGGAGTTGCGCCTGCGGGTGAGAGGCATGGTGTGGTGGAGGGGCATGGGTGAGTCAGGGGGACAGAATTGGTGGGGGTGGTTGTAAGGTGGAGGGGGAGGCGGCAGAGGAGGCTGAGGGCCATCCCCCTCTCTGACGCGCACAGGAGTGGACATGGCCGACTGGATAAGCTGATGCGTGGCCGGGCCTTGGCTGAGGAATGCCTCCATCCGCCCACGCCCGCTCTGGTCCACGACGATCACCTTGACGATCTGCTGGCATTGGATGAGTGTTTCCGGGCGAAGCTCTCCGGCTTGAACGGGGCTGAGCAGGGCGGGCGGCGCAGCCAGGGCCAGAGGCGTGGACTCAATGCTGGGCTGGCTCAGTTGATAGGTCTGCAGCCTGTTGTGAATTGACACCTAGTTTAGGAACAGTCAGAGAACGCATGAGGAGTTACCAGCCTGAACGCAGCCTCTACGCAGCCCTCTGGTGTGTTACGCACATGGGCATGCAGGCATGCAGGTAAGTAGTATGCAGAGCGAGCGCATGCAAAGTACACACTCTCCCTCTTTTTCTCTCAATCATGTTTTTACATGATTTACATGTTCACTCGGTCATGTTTTTACACACACCAGCCCAGAAATAGGAAAGGCTAGCAGGATAAGAAGAGATTCTGGTCAAAGATCATGGCGGGAACGTTTTGGATTTGATGTGTGTGTGTGTGTGCGAACATGGTCAATGAGTGGCGGAATGAGAAGCTACAAGTTAAAGGGAGTGTCAGGGGAGGAGAGAGGTGACACCGAGGGCGTGGTGTCTCCCTAACACACTTATTTACAAAGCTAAAGGACTGACTGAGAGGCAGGAGAGAGAGGAAAGAATGGGCAAAGGAATAAAACACAGAGAAAACTTGAAAAAGGGGGAAGACAGCCTCTATCACTATATGCTTAGTTAAAAGAAGGGCTGGTTTTACAGACATACACCCACACACACTCGACAGACAGTTAACAGTATCAAGCTTATCTGGCTTTGTAGATGGTATTCTAGGAGCCAGCCAGGCTTATGGTGGCTTGCAAAGGCTTATACAGTAAGGCTGGCAAGCAGCAGCTGATGAAAGAAGGGATGCTGTATCACGAGTAGAGTGGCTGCTGATGCGCTCATGAGGCACAGAAAGAGACTGTGTAGCATCGCTACAGCAGACTCATCTCAGCGGCCTTTGTATCTCTGGCTACATAGTGGGGATGTGCCTCAGGCAGAGCGCTTTTAAAGCAAAGCATAAAGCAAACTTTCTTTTCAGGATGAGGCGCAGTCCCTATCTAACCACACACACACACACACACTCACACACAAAACCACACCCACAGAGCCAGGAACGCAGGCACTTACCTGAGGAAGGCAAGAGTGGCTTTAACACTTACCTCTACTGTGTTGTTGTTGCCGGTTTTATCATACGCATCCTGTTGGCCTGTGGGCAGAAACAAGTCTGCTTGTAAGTCTACGGAGAGATTTAGGCTTCATGCACAGAATGTTAAAAACTGAGAATCACTTCTTCACACAGGGACTATCTTGCGTCTAAAGGAATAGTTCAGCAATTTCAGAATAGACTTATTTGCTTTATTTCTGAGAGTGAGATGATAAGATTGAAGCCACTGTCATAGAGTTTTGGATGTGCTGAGCTTAAACTGGGCAAACACTGTACCATTTGAGCCCTTTTTGGAAATGTTTCATTCTAACTCCCACATTTCAAGTAAACACATAAAGCCAAAGCTCACGATTTATGTGCTCACAGTGTGCTGTCAGATCGTCAAGCTACAACCTGAGTGCTCACACTGTACGTGTAAAATAGTCAATAAAACACTCCACTGGCCTGTGCAGATTGCTCAAGTCTTAGACAATTGTCAATAAAGATTTGTTTAAAAAACCCAAAGCAGCGGGCAGGTAGAGGTTTGTTTGCTGGCGGAGGTACAGTTCGCAACAATGTGCGGCCATACGTCACAAAAAGAGCCTAAAACTCCAT